GAGCGGCACAAATTGTGTTCGGATTCTGGAACTCGGTCCACCGGGAAATACATTTGGATAGAACGAAGAAACTCGGGAGACGGAGTTTCTCATCAAGTGACTTGAGGAAGATGTCCATCGATTCCAGTAACTGGTATTCATTTTGATGATCGTTACGAATTAGAAAATCCTCCTCCGCCGAATTCGGTAAATGGCACGGAAGGAATAAATGATTGAGAATCGATTTATTCGAGTGAGGCGGTTGCAATAAGTCCTGCATCTTGTAATGGAAAAGAATTTCAGTTCAACTGCAGGATTTCTAGAGCAACAAAAAGCGGAGACGATATGACTCACGGTGATCAGTGGGGAAAAGTTAAAGTGCTTTCGGTTCGCGAAGCACTAGGAAAACAAAAGATGAGCTGTTGTAAGGAACGGTACAAATCTTCATTCGGCGCACACCCCGTTGCGTTCTTTTATATACCACTTTTTTCTCGCTACCAAGACATGGCGCTTATCATCAGACGGACAATAAACAAATATTTCTTTTTCATTTTTACCAGGTAAAGAAAATAGCGCTTTGTGAAGTGGCAAACTACGAGTGGGAATAAATGAATATTCTTTCTCGCACATGGTTCACCGTAAGAATTGTCGATAGTTAGCAGAAAGAAAAAACGACTGTTTATGCGTGAAGAAGTATGGAAGGGTGGGTGTGGGTGTTGTATTCATTTCTGATCCAAGCACACGCACTCACATCTCTGGAATTCCAAGGTATCTTTGGAATTACAGGAAACTCGTATTTTTTCCCTTGCATCCCGTATATATCGCAAATGAGATCAAAACTAATTTGAATTTATTTTACTTTTATTTCTGCTGTGCGACTGGGTTTTTTCCCACTGTATGAGTTACATGTTCGGATATTGATGCCTTATCGAGAGGAATTAGTTCAGACAAAACCGCAAAAAGCAGGGTGGGTAGGGGTGCGAGTGTGGATTTGACTATAGGAGGGTATAACTGCTCTCACCCACACCCACACTTTTTAGTAGAGACAGCTACAGTGCTGGGCTCTTTAAAAAAAAGACATGTCCGAACTAGTTTAGATGTGATCGTTGCAGTATAACGACAGGGTCTGGTATATATATTACTCAGGCACCAACAACTCCACCAAGTCTGGTTTAACACGTACAATCATAATGCCTTGACTTCTGCTTATAATACAAATTCGACCAGAAATTCTGGTCCAGAATTTAATTATTATAACGGTTCATTTTCTATGCATCGAGAGTTATGTACCTCATTGTGTCTTTCTTGTGATTAAAATACAGTAGACTTACTCGAATCGTTGGTAATGCAGAAGTAACACAGACGACGTTAAAATACTTTTTAAATATTCAACCAGCTCCAACTTGAGATTGTTTAATAGATAAGAAAAAGTATAATTGCACAACAACTGCTTGTTTCTGCTGCCTCTCTTTTTTCTTTCCTTTCTTTACGATAAACGCGTTGTGCGTTGTATAGAAGACTCTACAACAGTGTGTCTTTACGAAAAAAACAATTCTTAGAAAAGTAAAATGTGAATGCTATGCATAGTACCATCTTGAGGGTGCGGGTTTGAGAACATTATTCACATCTACACCCTCACCCACATCCTCTTTCACTGTTAGCTAAGTGTCCACCTTGTCTACATTAGTTATCTTAACATTTTGTATCAACATCCATAATAAGATACATAGAAGGTCGAATACATTTCGGAATTAGATAAAGCATGGGAGCTGTAGTAATTGTACAATTAAATATTGTATAGATCGAGACTTAGTATTCTGGAAGTAACTTTCGATAACTACAAATCTAGAATTGACTGAATAGATCTATAGAATTATGTACAATATCAACAAAATTTAACATTTTATTTTCTGAATCATTTTTGTTATTTCTATTTGTAAAAATAATATTTATGTTTTGAAAATGAGGAATGAGGTGTGGGTGTGAGGTGGAGTGGAATGGGTGAGGATGATAGAGAAGAAGAGATATTCACACTCGCAATATTCTGCTATATGACCATATTTAAAACGTTTGCAACATTGAGATGGTTTATTGCTATAATTAGCAGATTCAGCGTTGAAGTACATTAAGTCTATTTGTAATCCGAGTTTAACAAACAAGTCTCTATTTATGGCATCCAAAAAGCTAATTTTAACTGTCTAAGAAAATTATTTTCTTTATTTGGTAAGCGAGAGATTTTTTTAAATATAGAACTTTGTTTATTTAAAGTTCTTTTAATGTCATCATCACTAATTTCTAAATCAATTTTCTTAACAAATGCTTCCTTGTTGTTATCCATTATTCTTTGTATGGAGTGAGGAATGTATACAACAGAACGTTGCTTTTGATTTGTTTGTATGATTTCTGACAGTTTGTTTAATATAAAATTAAAAGATTTCACATCTTTTGAATATATTGTAAAAGGATTTAGTCGATTGGCCTATTTGTTCGAAACTTTAACATGGGGTAGGTGATTTTTAATAAGTATGTTAAATTTAACTTTTGTAAGTAATTCAGCTTCCGATATTAGTGGTGAAATTTCGAAGTTGGTTTTGATGTTTGTTGTTTTTCTTCTACAATTTTCGATCTTTGCATATTGTTCGTATCAGATTTTGTTGTACTTAGATTGTCTTGTTCGTTGTTTTTACGTCCACGAGCACCTCCTCCGCTTTTTATTGGCGGCATGTTGGTTTAATGTTGAGTGCACAATAGTTAATATTAAATCAGTTGCTAGTTCAGTTATATTTAATTTTTCTTAGTTTTTTATTGATATAGTTTTGTAATTATAAATATAAATATGCATACTTATATTTATTATATGTATTTTTTTCTAACACTCAATTCGTCCGTAGTGAACTTTCTGTGTAATCGATAGAAAAGAAAAAGTCGTATGAGATCAATTCAAATTGTATTCATTCTGTAGCCATTATTGAGATCTTTTTTGTAATATACAGACTTAATTAACATACTACGTCAAAATAATACACCATTTGTTTATCAAAGAACTTCTCTGTATACGTTAATTGATATATGTAGAGTCTAATTCATGAATAATCTACTGATTAAGAACTTTTTCAAATACAATCTGATTTGTAAACATATTATCATTGTTATAATCATTATTGAAAACGAAATTTTTTCATATTTTCTTCTACAATCTGATAAATGAAATTATAAGATAAAATTAACGCATCTTACCTTACAAATGAGAGCAAATAAGAATAAACACTTTTCTTTCCAAAGATGCTGTAATACTGCAGAGATATATAGTAAAAAATAATAATTAACAATGATGTATCGTAGTGAACATTCTCACTTCATAATATAGAATGTTTACGAATAGTCACATCACAATTTTTTTGAAAGTCTTCATAAATCTATATCCAATTCAATGCTGTTCTAGTATTTTCATTTTTATTGAAATACAAAATTATTAATAAATTCCAAGAAAAAAATAGACTATAGGATTGAACATATTACATAACATTCAAATTTTGTACATTAAAAATCAGAATGAAATATTTGATTTCTAGAAAATAAAGGAAGATTATGATATAATATTAGTTAAGTGAGAAATAACTAATAAGTGATAGTATATGATTAAACTAAACATTTATAACATAGATTATTATACAAATAAATAAATAAATATTTCAAACTAATAATGAAACTCAACTTTGTCATATATAGAATGAAAACTAATGTATTGTCGTTTATGTATTTATAAAATGAAATATTTAGTTGTACAGTAAGTGGAGAAAACTTTCACGTTATTTTTCTGTTCTTGAAACAATTGTTCGTTAAAGCTATAGAAGTTATTAGTCAGAAATTGTTTTGTTTTAACAAACAAATAAAAGTAATGGTGTATACAATCTAAAATGATATTACATCTTATTTTTCCTTCGAACATTAATTATTATATCTACTTAAACAATGTTTTATTTTTTACTAATTTAGTTTTCAATTTTTCTATACCTAAATATTCAACAGTGGCAACTATTTATAATTAATTTTCTGTCTGTAATTGTTCTGCAGATTATCTGCCAGATTTCCTAGAAATCTAATCATTACATTAAGTTTCGTAGATAAATAGTAATACAATTTTGAAAGATACATAAAAATGTAGTGAGTAAATTAGCTTATGATCGGTCTTCGTTCACATCAATGGACTTATTCTTCCCATAGGAGCATATATATGATTGACAATGACTTAGTTGTTGGAATTGAAGTAGAAATAAATGAGAGTGAAACCGGACTAAAATTGCACGTATAAAAGTTAGCTCCTTCTCTTCACAGGATGAGGTGTGGATGGAAAAAGAATTTAGATTTACTAATGTCTTCCATTTGCTATCTCTTCGTCGCCTTCCTATCAAAAATTCACACCCTTAGTTGTTACACTTATTATATTTTCTGCAATAAGATATATTTATCATACATATAGAATTGTCTGTGATGCATTTTTGATTTTTTTTTGTACAAAAAATATAATATATTTATCAAATATATTCTGACTACATAGATATTTTATCGTGCGCGTGTCGATAATAATCAGTAAAAACAAATATATCATCGTACAGGTAGAGCAAACGTCATTAATTGACGATATATAATAATCTATTCCCTAATCTTACGTCAATAAAATATACGTAATATATACATTATCAAATGAATATTATAGTCTTTGAATAAAAACAACTATTGATTGGATAAATATAGAAAAAAAAACAGCGTAGGAATATTTCATTATTTACTACCCTTCATGTTGTTCATATAATAATGACTAATGAAATATTACTATTACATAAGATATTGTGCAGTATATATAGATGCATACCCCCTCATCTTATAACTATAAATAGATATCATGCAATCCTATACAGTAAATAACGATTAACGATCGGTAAGAAATATTTTTATTTTTTATTCTAATACTATATGTTTGTTAGTTTATTCTAGAAAGTTTGAATTATAAACAAATACTAATGTTATCTTCAGGAAAGCTTCGATGGTTATATTTCATATTTGGACAATATATGATATCATATGTAAGAACAGCATGGCCACCATCAAATTCTTCAAATGTACAATTATTAGGTATCTTTGAATATATTACAAATATTACTGAATCTACTATATGGTCTGTTCAATCTCGTGCGATGTTTATATCAGCAATATTACTCTCTCAACAATATAATATGACTATTCAAGGACAGAATATTAGCTGGCAAACTGTAGAAACTGGAGGGGATCCAATGACTGCTCTTGGAGATACATGTCGAGTAATGACGACTTCAAATATCGTTGGCATTGTAGGATCAGGACTCTCAAGTGAATCTCATATTATTGCTCCTTTTTCTGCAAAAATCGGTATACCTATCGCATCCTATGCAGCAACGGATCCAGCACTATCTGATGGCATTATTTATCCTACATTCTATCGTACAGTTCCATCAGATAATACAACTGCATTGGCAATGGCTCAACTTTTCATTCGATTTAATTGGACATCATGTATCGTTATCTATCAAAATGATGATTATGGAACAGGTGGTGCACAAGCATTAACTGATATATTTACTAATCAGAATTTAATAGTTTCACAAATGATCATATTTGATATTGTCACTCTTACTATTCGTGGTGATTTAAAGAGTCTTTTAAAAAGTAGTTCAATACGAATAATTATACTTTGGATGGACTCAGATTATTCATCTGTATTTATACAAAACGCACTTGATTTAGATATTTTTGGTCCACAATTCACATGGATATTAACTTCAACTATTTCATTGGATAGTTTTAATAGTACATCTTATAATAAATTAAGTGGAATGATCACCGTTGAACCAGTTGTAGGTAGTGTTGTAAATGCTCCAATAAACACAACATTATTAAGTGCAGCATATAATATATGGCAACAATATGAACCAGAAACATTTCCTGGATCAGATAAAGTTGATTATTATGCAATATTTGCATTTGATGCAACTTGGTTGTTGATTCAAGGATTAAATCAACTTTGTTCATCTTTTCATAATATTTCATCAACATGTACAACATTAACTGGTGATTCATTCTGTTTTAATCGTCGTTTTGTTAATTCTGATTTATTTATGAATATACTTGATAATACTTCATTTCTTGGTGTCTCTGGTCCTATACGATTCGCAAGTAATTTGACTGATCGAATAGATGGTAATTATTATATTTCAAGAAATATTCAAGGTTCTTCAACTAATCTGAATTTTGTTCCAATATTGGTATGGTCTAATTCGAATGGATGGACAACAAATACACAATCGAATGTGATAATCTGGCCTGGTAATTCATTAGTAGTTCCTACTGGATATGCAGCAGTATCAGGTTTAACGTTAAGAATTGCTGTTGTCGATTCAACTCCGTATACAATGATGTCAGAAATACAAGATGCTTCTGGAAATATATCAACAAAATTAATTGGATATGTACCAGATTTTATTGACGAACTACAAAATCGAATGGGTTTTACTGCTGATATTACTTATTTTCCTGGAAATATGTCATATAATAATATAATTAATTTAGTAGCTAATGGTACTTTTGATATGTTCATCGGTGATGTAACAATTACTGCAGCACGAAGAGAAATAGTCGATTTTTCGAGTACAGTATATGATAACTCATTACGTGTCGTTGTAAGAGATGCAATTAAGATCAAGTTAGATTTATGGTCATATTTAAAACCATTTTCTTTTAAACTATGGATAACTATATTATGTGCTACTATATGTGCTGGTATTATAATATGTATATTAGAAAGACAACAAAACGAAGCATTACAAGATCGATCAATGACTGGTCTTGTAGGTATGAGTATGTGGTATTCTTTTGGTACAATTATGGGATTCGGTGTAGATTTTAGTGTTGCTACAGCTGCTGGTCGACTATTAACTGCTGCTTTATATATTTTAAGTTTGATATTAGTTGCTGCATATACTGCAAATTTAGCATCTGACCTAACATTGTTAAAGTCACAAGCTACTATTTCTGGAATAGATGATATTAAAAATGGAAAAGTTTCATATAGTCGCATTGGTATTGTTGTTGACTCATCTATTGAAGACTACTATTTAAGAGATATTTCTAGTAGTAGTCGAAATTATTATCCATTAACATCAGAAATAGATGTATATAATGCTCTATTGAATGGTAATATTGATGCATCTATTATGGATGCTGGTACTGCGGAATATATGGTTAATAGTATATATTGTAATTTAACTGTGGTTGGTCCTGATTTTGATCAAAGTGCATATGGTATTGCTTTTCAAAAAAATTGGTTATATGAACAAGATTTAGATGTAGCTATTTTGTCACTAAGAGAGGAAGGTGTATTTGATAATCTAATAACCAAATGGTTTCAAACAAATATATGTTCTCAATCATCTGATACATCTACTGCTATGTCAATTGAATCTATGGCTGGATTATTTATGACCTGCGGAGTTATAAGTATTCTGGCTGTATTATTTTTCATATGGAAAAGACACATCAATTCAAAAAAAGACTTCATCAACAAGTGATTCAAGTAATATTTCTTCAGAACAGTCTTTGCCTGGCGAAACACCAGCATATCATACATTGTATATACAATAATATTAAAATGTACATATAATAAATTTTTATGATATATATATATTATTAGTTAGAACATATTTTTTACATAGATTATATTGTTTTTGATGATTAAATTCATAGAAACATATATTCGCATTTGATATTAAAATGCTTCCGAACTGATCATTTTTTTTATTGTTTTATTTCTTCTCTTGACGGCAAAAATCAAAGGTGAAGTTTTTTGCTCTTTTATTGTTTTGTTATGCTTAAAAAGAAAACAAATTTTTGTCGTTGTAAAATGATATACGTAAAAGAAATAAACGTGCATGTAGTTAGTATAAAAATTATTTATTGATTTATGAAGTATTAAGAATTTATTCCATGTTTTTCATTGATATAAACTTATAATGTAGATTAGTTGTTAGATCAATCTTGAACCGATTGAAATAATCCATGATAAGAGTATGACGATGTTTATATTATTTGTTCTAGAACATAGATTTTGTAAAAGTAAAAATATAATAATATTTTTGTTTTACTTACTTTGTAAAGAGAGAATAAGAATGATTTTTTGAACATGGTTGATTATCAATTAAGGCATACATTTGTATACGATGATTTTTACTGTCACAAACATAAAGATTTCCAAGTTTATCGAATACTAAAGAAGTGGGTTGTTTTAATTGGTTACTTTTACTACCTGCTCCTGTAATAAAAGTACATAAAAATATTTTTAGTTTTCGTCTAAGATAATAATATTACCTGTTCCACCAACAATCGTACTACCAAAGAGTTCATTTGGTAACCATCGTTGAACCCGATCGTTATCGCTATCAACAATATAGATAACACTGGATTGTTCATCAACCCATACATATAATGGATTTGCTAATGATGCAGCATTATCACCGCCAACACCGTCTTTTGAACCAGCTACAGTGATTCCTTCTTTTGAGTTATTATTCCATTTTTGAATGCGATGGTTTAATGTATCAGCAATATACCATACATCATTTGCTTGATTAAAATAGACATGAGTAGGAAAATAAAGACGATCAGTTGTATGTCCTTGTTCATCTATTCGACCAGAAATCGTTATACTAGTATTTGTCTTTGGTGACCATTTTAATATTGAATGTGTTCCTGATTCAGTCATATAAACATTTTTGTCTTTATCAAGCCATACATTGCGACATTGTTTACATTGATTACCTATTTGTTCACCTTCTAATGCACCTTTTATCCATTTTTCTACACGATTTTCAAATCGAAGTGCTATATACATAGTCATTTCATCATCATCGACATAGACAGCATACATTGAATTTATATTCGATGCTACCGTAATACCTGTTGTTGATGTTTGATTGAGTGAAAACATTTGAATACGTCTATTATCAGTATCAACAACATATAACATATTCGTTTTCTCATGAAGAAACATTCCTTGTGGTAGGCTAAGTTCATTAGAACCATTGCCTTTTGAATTACTTCCGAATATCGTAATTCCCGTGGTATTCCATTTAGCGCAGGGACTTAGATTGATTGCTTCGACTGATAGAAATGAATATAAAACCAAAACTTGAATATAAAAAAGAAAAGTTATTTTTTTCAACATTATGTTTATTATATTCATTCAGAAACTTACTAATATATATAGAGATCATTGAAAGACCTGTTTGCATTCAAAAAATCGGTAGAATGTGCATTTTATCTAAGTGGATATATTACATTTCTGATAAGAATATAACGCCATAAAAAGACAGTAAAAACAGAAGTTAAAAGTTAAATCTCAATTTGATCATATATAAGAGTCAAGTGAAAACTAGCGTCCTCTATAGATATTTTTTATAATCGGTTGATTGTATTCTACCTATCTTATCTTATAATTTCTATGAAGAAAATGTAGTATTTCAAAAGAAAAAGTATTTTAATATATCAACGTTGGAAAATTCCAATATTTTATTTAAACTATTATTAAATATTAAAAATTTAAAATGGTTGATGGAGCTCGTACTAATACAAAACAACAAACACCAACAAATACTAGATCATTCAGTGATCAAAATCAAACCAAAGTAGATTACAATTCATCTTTCTCTATCATATTATTATGTAAAACAAAATTTTTCTTTTGATTGTTCCATATAGATAGTTCTTCGTCGATTACCACCTTTACTTACAAGTGAACAATTTCTTGAAATTGTTTCTCCACTTCCTGATCATGATTATTATCGTTTTTGTAAAGCTGATTTAAGGTATTCATATATATATATTTTTCTCTTATTGAAATTTCATTCACTTTTTTGTTCTTTTAGTTTTGGTCAACAATATGCATTTTCTCGTGTTTATCTTAATATTCCTAATCGACAAGATCTAATTATATTTACAGAAAAATTTCAAGGTTATGTTTTTGTTGATAAAAATGGTAATAATTTTGTTATTTGTTTATTTTTGATATTATCTATTTGTTAATTTCATCAAGGAAATGAATATCCTTGTACAGTTGAATATGCACCTAATCAAAGTTATCCAAAATCAGAACAACAATCACGAAAAGATCCAAAATTGAATTCAATTGAACAAGGTTATATTAAGATTGATTTATATTTTAAATTTAGTTTTCTCTTCTATTTAGATCCTGAATATCAAACATTCCTTGCTAATATCAATGCACCTTTGAGTGCATCAGAAGCTTTGCCTAATGCTGAAACAATTCTTGAAGAAATTGAAAAGAAACAACGTGATCTACAAGGTAAAACGAATGTTTTTTTGTAATAATAATTATCATTCAATTTCTGTAATAATAATAATAGAAAGTAAAAATAAACCAGGTGTTACAACAACACCTCTACTAGAATTTCTCAGACGAAAACGTGAAGAAAAAAAACAGGTTCGGAAAAGCAAAAATGATTTATTTAAATAATAGAATTTATACTAAAAAAATATAGGAAAAAATGATACGTATTCAACAAAATCAACAACGTCGAAATAATAAACAACAACCATCAAGAAATGATGATGATTATAATACTTCAGCACGATATGGAAGTGGTGGTGATAGATCAAAGTATAATTATTTTTCTTTTTTTCATAAAATCTATTTAAAAATTTGTTTTAATTTAGTCGACAACAACGTGGTTATGATAAATCAGACTATCGAACATCTAATCAAGAACAGGTAATAAAAAACAAATCTATCATATTATATTTTATCTTTCTATTATTAATAAGAAACGACCAAATGATAATAATAAATCAGCAAAAAATCGTGAATCTCAAAATCCTAAATCAAAACAAGCATCATCATCATCACAACAACAAAGCTCAAAAGAATCGAAAACTATTTTGAATACTAAATCAAACAATGAAGAATCATCACAAATTGAAACACAAACGAAACGTGATACTGAATCAATCGATACAACAAATGATAATATTCAAAATGATGAACGACCTAATTCCTCAAATAAAGCATCATCCAGTGCTGCTCAAAAGGTATGTATTTATTATTTTAATGAAATTTTCATTTAAAAATAATTATTTATCTTGAATAGAATCCAAATGCTCCTGTAAAGAATCGTCCATCTATTCAAATTTATAATCCAGGAGAACGAGCAAAAATGCGAAAACAACAGCCTCCATCGTCTTGAAAAACTTGTTTTGTTCATCCTGTAAAATCTTCTTTTTGTTTATTTCACATAATAAATAACCCTCTATTCTTTAGTACTTATTGTTTCAGATTTAAAAAGTAAAATCTATTGATATTGTTCGAATGAAAATAAAATCTCATACATTTCTTCATTAAGAGATAATCAAGTGAATTCTCTATATGTACATTTCAGATGTCAACAAATAGTTTACGTATTCGTTGTCTCTCATTGAAAGATGCTGATAATCAGCCAATCTCAAATATATTATTCTATGTGAAAAAATTAGCACAAATACCAACATCAGCTGGTAAAATGCTGCTAAATAATACTACTAATAAATGTCAGATAAATAGATATTTACTCTTTATTCTATAGAACCTACAATAAAACTAAAAGAAAAAGATTCGAAATTATCTATTGTTCTTGCTTGTAATGAAACATTTGATATGTTAGCAGATGATGATTTTTGTCAAATATTATTTATTAATTCGAATTCAAAAACAGATGTATTTGCTGATCTTACATTACAACGTAATGATCTTGTAGATGAATATACGATTAATTCATCATATCATAAAAATCATCAACCAGAATTGATTTGTAGTGTAAGATGATTATAATGATTTTAATATGTATATATATATCATTCGATCTGATCTAGGTTGATGTAGATAAAAATTATATATTTCAATTTAGTCTTCAATTAGTTGAAAATTCTGTTAAAGAAAATAAACGTAATCGTAAAATATCAACTAATCAATTAATTCGAGGTCATCTTATGCTAGTTAAACAATTTAATAAACCTGTTTCATGTGCTATATGTAATAAATTTATTTGGTATCGAAATTTCTAAACATCTTCTTTTTGTTTTTATTCAATAATTTATTTTAATTTTCAGGGGAATCTATCATCAAGGTTATGAATGTTCATATTGTTTATTTGTTACACATCGAAAATGTCGTCAAAATATACCTTTCGATTGTCAACAATCAATCAATTCTGTATTTAATATTTCGATTTATTAAAAAGAAATTATACATTTTTATTGATCTTTTTTCTAGAAATCTAATCTAATATCGAAAAATTATCAATGTGAATCTGTAAGTTTACATCGATTTATACAATATCGAGCACCATTTGTTCAATCGTTAATATCTCGTGAACATAAACATTGTAATCATTGTGGTTCACAAGTATTACGACATGCTCTGAAATGCATACGTATGAAATCAAATAAATGCAATGCTATACTTAAAATTATTTGCTATGTGTTTATAATAATTTATTTAAATTAACATACGGTATATTGTTTGAAGGTTTTTTCAATAATAACTAATTATAAATTAGAGTCAGTTCTGTAAATGTTAGTGAAGAAGAAATCTTGAATAAGAAAACCTCTAGAGCATTAGAGTGATAAGCTTCTGTTGAGGCCAACCACTGTGCGAATTAGTTTCTACTTTCGATACTTGTTAGATTCTTATCATTTCATATGTGTGTCAGGGATGTCATTGCTCCAATTGTTTGCCTATTCGTCTTTTGAGCAGTTATTGCTTCATGTATACCGATATTTACAACGTCCTTACAGCATATCACCCTTGTATGATATTATCCTTGTGGTGTAACCTCGATCGTCCGACATGCATAACGAATCTTACTGAATAGAGAGAGTAATATAGATAAAATCCTATTATAGTTACAACGTATATAATTCTTTAAAATATAAAGTATGAAAGCAAACTTTCTGAACTATTCTTTCCACAAGAGAGTTTTAATATTAATCAATTTTATTAAGCACAAACTGTCTATAAGGTAACAATTCTAAAAATATAAAAATAAATGATTTGCTATTAAAATATTATAATAAATCTTATGCTATATCAATAATATTTTAAAATGAATCATTATTTCATTTATTAATTAATTGATTATTTTATTTAGAATGTCATTTTATTATTCATAAACATTGTGAACAACATGTTCCATCCATGTGTAGTATACCATATATGTTAATTGGAAAACGAGCTAACACAGAATCCTCAAGATCAGAAATCACATCAACAATTTCAAATGAACCTGAAATAAGTAATATTATAAGTTCACTACGTAGATATTCTACTACTTCATCAATCAGTTTTCCACCTTTAAATTTATTGTTGAATGAGAACGTAATTTCATTACCAAAATTTTCCGATTTTAAATGTATTGGTTGTCTTGGCAGTGGTCGTTTTGCGAGTGTATATTGTGTTCAACATATTCCATCAGAAAAATATCTTGCAATTAAAGTTATTGATGGTTTAGTTGAATCGGCACGACAACAATTTGAAGTTGAACGACAAATTTTATATCGTTTTAGTGATAGAAATCCTTATATGATTAAAGCGTATTGTTCATTTCATCAAGGTGTAAGTTAAATAGATTTTGAAAAACTGTCTTTCATTTTCTTTTTAAATTAATAGAGTAAATTATTTCTTGCTATGGAATTTGTTGATGGTGATACATTACATGATAAAATTCATAAAAAACGTATGAATGAAAATGAAATTAGATTTTATCTAGCAGAAATTATATCTATCATACAATATTTACATGCCAATGATATTATTTATCGGTATTCATCAAAGAAAGAAAATTTATTTAATTTTTCATTTTCGATTATTTAGTGATTTGAAACTTGAACATATAATTGTAAATTCTTCAGGTCATATACGTCTTGTTGATTTTGGATTAGGACGAATATTAAGAACTTCTGATGAAATGTGTCATACAATTTGTGGTACACGTGGATATTTAGCACCCGAGGTAAGATTTTCTTCTCTAACCTAAATAAAAATATCGAAGTAAGAACGAAGGAAGATAACAGGTGTTTTGTTTTTTTCGATGTGATTTAGGTGAATCATTTACTTTAACAAAGAAGTTAAATATAGCATTGGGCGTGTTTTTGATTTGCTTGAATAACGTCGAAAAAAATAAATCACCTGTTATCTTCACTTCATTCTTATTTCGATCAAATTCGGGTCCAACATTGTTTTTTATTATCTGAATAGGTTCGACTTTTAGAACAAAATTTAACAAAAGATGGTTATAGTTATTCTGTTGATTATTGGGCACTTGGTATGATATTTGCCCAAATGTTATGTGGTGAACAATTCGATTTTCATCCTCAATTATCATCAGATAATAATAATGAAATAGGCTATCAATCAATTATTGATGAAAATTTACAATTATCTCGTGATATTAGTCCAGAAGCTCGAGCATGTCTTAATGGTTTACTTGAAATTGATCCAAAAAAACGTTTTGGTTCGCCAAATTCACCACACGGATCTTTGCGCGAACATCCATTTTTTCATGTTAGACAAAAAATTAATTGGCAAGAAATTGATGAAGGTCTATTTAAATCTCTCTATAATAAACAATCAGTAAGAAAAAAACCGAAATTCTATTTATCAATAATTTCATCATTTCAAATTTAGATTATACGAATTATTTCTGATATGCCCGATGATATACCATTTCCAAGATTATTATTTGATCGAAGTATTCAAGCTAAAAATAGTTGGATAAATGCTGGAAAATCAACATGTCTTCCGAATGAAGAAGAACAATTTAAATTATTTGATCATGTAAATCAATCAACTTGGTATGAATTTAACTAGTTCAATCTATTTTTATTATAATCCTGAAGATTTATTAATTTATTACATATGAAAATTATTATTATTTTTTTATCTATAAAAAGTTTGATACCATTTACAATATATCTAAGTCATCATTCGTTGACATATTATCAGTTAGTATGTATATAAATGTAACCTTTTCTTCTTTTTTTTCTTCTCTCTGTCATTTTTTTTTGCATTCTAATACCTCGAAAGAAAAAGGTGATTTTGTCTTTCTTATCTTATCCGTTATAAATTCAACATATTTATTTTGTATATAGCTTCTAGATTCTTGTTTATTTTTATTCTTAAATGTCGTCGTCGTCATCTCCATTAGTCCGTCGTATTATTACAACAACTGCAGCTGGACCAGTTGGTGGACCATATAGGTAAATTATAAATGATGGTTTTGAAATAGTAAATAATCTAAAGACTTATATAATTTAGTCAAGGTGTTGTTATTGGTCAAACATTATATTTAAGTGGATCTATTGGTCTTGATCCTGCAACTGGTAAATTCGCTGGTGAAAGTGTACAAGAACAAGCTCGTCAAGTAAGTTCATATATTTGTGTATACTACAAGTTTTGTTTATTTATTTATTAGTCATTAAAAAATCTTGGTGAAGTTCTTAAAGCTGCAGGTGCTACATATAAAAATGGTAACTTATTTCTAAACATAAAAATATCATTTTAATATTGACAATTTGGTTTTTTGTTATAGTCGTAAAAGCCAATGTCTTTCTTCAAGATATGAACGATTTTGCTGCAATGAATGAAGTCTATGCCGAAGGTAAACATTTCATATGTACACATATATACAAATATTAAAAAAACATTTTTGTATTATAGTTTTCACAGATCATCATCCAGCTCGTTCAACTGTTCAAGTAGCAGCTCTTCCAAGAGTAAAACCAATTAATTTCATTTATAAAATTTCATATATTTATTTTTATTTAGAATGCTAAAGTTGAAATCGAAGGTATAGCTGTCTTAGGTGATATTAAAGACGAATAGACATCATTGTCTTTGCATCTATAACTGCAATATGTGATTGCATGTTAGCAATCAATCGATTTTTTTTTTCTTCCACCTTTTCTTTTTCTTTTTCTTTTTTTTCTTGTTTATTGAACACAGTTATAGTACTAAGAACATACTAGTAAATTAATTACTTGTTCATTTCATTATGTAGAAAACGAAGGAAACAAATCTGATTAGACTGTTGTTTCTCATGAGAGATTATATTTGATCGTAATCGAATGTCGAACATTGTTTGCACGCAAATATGTCACAGAATCGATCGGTTGAGCTAAGTGCTTTTATTTTTTCAAATAATATATGAAGGCGGAACTCGATCTGCTGTCAAATTGAAAGACAAGCTGAAGGCAATAGGAAGAGAGAGAGAGGGAAGAAAGAAAAACCATTCCAATAATACTACCTGATAGTTTACACGATGACGAGAGAGAGCAAAAAAAAGCAAACCCCGACTGATTATGTGTCTATTGTGATAAGCAATGGGTGGGAAAGAAAAGATGATTCAATTAAAGAAGAATTGAACAAGCTCAATCACATATACACACACACACATATGGATAAATGAGGGAAGACAAAGGAAGTATTGAAGCATTAATCAATATTATAGAATATTGCACCATATACACTTGTCTAAATATAAGAAAAAGATGTGCTCAATTAATTGTCGATAATAAACTAAAAGAAGACAATATGACTACCTTCTTGAAAATAATTATAAACATGTACATGTTGATTGATTCATGCACGAATAACATTCAAGATATAGAGTCATCATTATCTTTCATCTTATTATGGATACAACTAGTCTTTATCATTGATATTGTATTCATTCGAGCGGCTAAGATAAAAGTAATGTACATACAACTGTTTCGTATCAAATGGCATTTAATTTCATCAAAATTAGCTTTGTTACTTTTTTTTCTATTTATTTAATAAAGATCGAGAAAGAAAAAAAAGAAGAGTTTTGTTTATTTATTAAATATTATTCGAATACTAAGTGATAATTAACATATGAATAATGATGATGTGCTCATTCAATACAATTATATCATTGAGATAAATAGGTGCGAGAAGACGAAGGTATTCACGCATCAAATTGTCTGATATAATTTTTCTTATAAATCAAATTATCCTTATAATTATCATCTTCAATTCAGCAATGGTAAATAATCGATTCAAACTCGATAAATTCCTGTGCAGAAAAGAAATCTGATAGAGATAAAAAATTGTTTTTGACTTCGGTACAAAAAATATTTGATACTAATCAATTAGAAACATTATCGAATGAAAACAATTATCGAAGAATAAACTCCAAAATATTTTACTAAATAATTTGATACGATCTAATGAAAACATTATAACACTATAGTGTCCAAATAATATTTTCTTTGTTTCTCGTGTTCTATAAAAGTCAATCAATCAATTATCTATTCCTCTTTCATGGGTTGTCATATAAATTGGAAATATGAGCTAAACCGATGATGAAGAAGTTAAGGTTACTCTCTTTGCCTTATTCATAAAAAAAAAAGAATGTACAAACTAACATAATTGGGTGCAAATTACTAAGAAAAAAAAATGTAGAGAACAAAAAAGGATTCTCTTTTCCTTTTTTTTTCTTCTTTTCTCATTTGTGTTTCGATTGGCCCATTAATGGAAATATCACGCTTGTTGAGCCAATTCTTTCTCTTTCTCTGTTGCTTTTCAGACATGTTGCGATTGGCTTAGTTAGTAGTTAGGAAAAAAAAACATCAGAAAAGAAAAGAAGGGAAAAGAAAGTCTTATAAAAGATTCCAAGCATTCTCTTATTCGTTTAATTATTAATAAATTAGTTTCTCCGTTTTATACATCTATGTTAACAACCTAATCATGAATTTAGCTCATTATCCTCAACAAAATATCTCAACAAATACTCGAACAACTGCATTTGCTATTCAAGAACTTCTTGGTCTTACATCACCTGATCTTGCTGCTGCTCGTGCTTATGCTGATCATCAAGCATATCGAGCTTATTTATCAAGATCAAGTTTATTTCCTTCATATCAACATTCACCAGGAATATTTGTCAATAGAGATATACCAACACCTTCAACACATCCTTCACATTCAAATTTTTTCCCACAATTTTCACCAACAAATACAAATAATACATTAGATTCTTTACAAGATAATTTAGGTATTTTATTAATTATTTTATTTTTTCTTATTAACAGAAATTTTTATTAATAGATCGAGATATTCATACACTTAATAATGGCAATGGTAGTGATGGTAATAGTGACAAATTAAATACAAATGAAATCAATAGTAATAATGGTGGCAATAATAAGAAGAAAAAATGTAAACGTAGACATCGGTAAATATCTTGAAAAAAAAACAAATTTTTAAAATTAATTGATTTTATTCTTTATAGAACTATATTTACAAGTCATCAAGTTGATGAATTAGAAAAAGCATTTAAAGATGCTCATTATCCCGATGTATTTGCAAGAGAATTACTTTCTGCTAAAACTGATCTTCCTGAAGATCGAATACAGGTTTGTTTACAAAGTTTTCAATTATTATTACCATACAACATACTATCCTACTGAAAATAAAGTCTAAAAAAAAACTCCAGATCAATTCCATTGCTTTTGCTTGAATAATTTTCTACATGTTTTTTTCAATATTTATTATTCTACATCGATAGCATAAATAGTCACTCAGCTTGATGTCTTTAACCTTGTTCTAATGAGCATTTTTTTTCCTATCGATTGGTAGAAATATTGTAGTAGCATGTGCATTCAATTGGTTGTCAATACAAGCGCATAAGACTTAGTCTGTTACATAATTGACATAATTTTCTTTTGTTTTTGTTTATATATTATTACGTGCTATTTAAGGTCTGGTTTCAAAATCGTCGAGCCAAAGTAAAGTTTTCTTTTTTTTGAAATTATCAATTCTTTGTTTTCTTTTCTTAGTGGCGTAAAACAGAAAAAACATGGGGAAAAGCAACAGTTATGGCTGAATATGGACTTTATGGAGCTATGGTTCGTCACTCATTACCATTACCAGATACAATTGTTAAATCAGCTAAAAATGGTGTTGATACATCATGTGCACCATGGCTTCTTGGTATGCATAGAAAATCTTTGGAAGCAGCTGAACAATTAAAAAATATGGTTAAAGATAATGATGATGAAAATGATGATGACGATGATGATGATGATTGTAGTAGTACACATTCAAGAAAATCACCTGAACATGTAACAGAAACAATGCGAAGTCAAAGTATTGCAGCACTTCGTGCAAAAGCACAAGAACATCATGCAAAAACAACAATAATAAATGAATATTAATGGACACAAAAAAAAGACAAGATTTTATTATTGTTCAATATATATATATACATATATATCTTAGTTTCTAAGAGTAAAAAATAAATAAATTTAATTGATTTTATGATCAAAATCCTTTTTTCAAATTTTTAATTAAAAAGAAAAGCTCAATGAACGAAAATTGAATTATTATAATAACATTTTCAATCATGACAAACTCGGTACTTAACCGAAGTCTTATATATTTGTTAATGTACTCATAAATATGACGTGACATTTTACCAAAGATAGTTGTTGATATAATTAGATTACAAGATGAAACATCAATGTTTATTAATATTTGAGATTATAATTAGAAATTATTTAAGATTCTAGAAGCTTTTTTTTTATTATGATTACCGAAGAAAATAATTTCATGTAAGAATAGAATTCTTAATAATATAACTACTTGACAAAGATACTAAGAGTCTAGTAGAACCTTTATTTATGAACTCTTCGTCTCAAATTAGAAACTAAGTAGAACAGTATTTACGAGTAAATTTTATTTCATATAAAAACAAACTAGTTAACATGAACTTTGTTTTAATTGCAAATGAATTACTTTTTTGATTTAAGTTATTTAAAAATGTTCTAAAGATTAGATTTTCTTATTTTTCTCGTTAATTGAATGAATTATAAGAATAATTCAACTATGCGGTTAAAAGAAGTTATTGAATTAATATACTTTGTTGTTAATTGAATAAACGATGCAAGGATTAGTTCGTCGTCTATTCTAGATAGACAACATTCCAGGGTCACACAGTATACTAAAACGATAGATGAAACATTAACTTATACTTCTGATTAAAAAAAGTCGTGATTCATTTTGATTTCGAAGTTTCTTAAAAAGAATAACTCATAGGATTTCTTATTTGTATTTTTGAAAATAATATATTATGAGTGTTTCTAAATATATATTTAGTATACAGTTAAAATAAGGCAATCAGTCGTAGTCTCAAATAATATTCGTTCTTCATTTACCTTGAGATGTATTTCTTTTTCTTTTCTTTTATAAGAGTTTCATCTCACCGAATACATTAAAGAGAAAAAAGCAAATATTTTTTCTTTCTTTTTTCATTCTTTACATCGAAAATATTCATTCGGAATAAATATCTCATAAGATTTTATTTTATAAAATTAACATAATGAGTAACAATACAACATCGATTGATTCAAATCTTAACTATGATTATGATCGTAATGGAGCAGTAATATATACAGTAGTTATATTATTATTTTATTCACTTTCATTATTTTGTTCATTAATATTGAATATTGATCCAGATGATGATGATTCTTATGAAAAGAAATGGAGTGTTTATAAAGAAATGAAGAATAGAAAAACATTTCATACAAGTCATGTAGATGTTTTAAGTAAGTTAGTAAAAGAATATCTTTTACAAATAAAAGGTTTTTTATTAGATATTCTAGCTGATCAAACATTACGTACAAAATATTGGAGAATTTATTATGGAGATGAAAAATTAAATTTTCAACCAGAAAAATTTATTTCTGCTGAATCAAAACGTTTATTTGCTGTTTCACAACTTGTCACTCGATTAAATAATGAACAACGAAAACATTCAAATAAACATGAAGAATTTAATGAATTAAATGAAAGGAAAACATATCGTTCTCTACAATCTTCACCTGAAGCTACATCAACACCATCATCATTTTTATTCAAATTTAGACGAGCACGTTCAACATCTGTTCCAAGTGAGAATATCAGTTTAAATACTCCGATAGAACGAAGATCCTTTGATATACTTTCTCAAACACCATTATGTAAACCACCACTTATTACTGTCACAAAACATCCATGAAAGAATTTTTATAATAAAAACAAAAATCAATTAATATTATATACGATTTATTTGACTTCTTTATAATAAATACAACTAAAATATGAAAAGAAAACTTATTCAAAAATCATAAGATGTCAAACATAGAAAGTATGAGTAAATAATGTCTGACTTAATATATCACTATAATCATTATCGAAGCAAGGGTTATAGTTTTTTAATTTTACATCGATACCAACTAGATAAAACTGTTAAATAAATCTGTGAATTTAGATCACTTATATTGATACATATTGGCATTATCAAACATACAACCGTTGAGATCGTAATGAAAGAAGAACTATAATTCTGTAGCTGCCTGTGTACAAGAGAAAAGAAGCGCACGTTTAAGACCATGTAGTTAATAAAATATGTAGTACCTGTAAATCATGCAGTAGAATTTAAGGATCCTACTACTAAGATAATTTCTACCAAATATTATAGTTCTAATCCACCATTATACACACGATAGTATTCTTTACAGTGGCGGATCTAGGATTTTGGAAGGAGAGGGGGTGATACCTGAGTAGGCAGGGGCGATATCTGGGGGCGGGCGATTTCGACTAAAACCTATTTTCCCTGTAAAAAATCAAAACAAAATTCTGAGGGTGGCGATCGCCCCCATTGCCCCCCTAAATCCGCCACTGATTCTTTATATTAATAGCTTTGATTGTAAATGAAAATTAAAGTTGACTATATTCACCGTCATCGTTTATGGAATTATGTAAAATAAAACCCTATCAAAACTATTACTAATTTCTCAATACATTGCGTATAAAACATAATTTAATCGTTAGTTTATTTTTTTGACGGAATAAAGTAAAAAGATATTCTTTGTAAATTTGATCTATAATATATATTTTGTATAAAATATAAAATTCAATGGCAAGATAATAAAAAACCGTAAGACTTATTAACAAAATAAATACAAGACCTATACAAAGAAGACAAACAATTTATTATGATTTTGAATTTCCAATTACTCGACAAATAATTTCATTGATATCCTAAATAATAAAAAATAATATTTTGTTTTTTTTCGAAATAATAAAAATTTATACTGATGGTCGACATGAATCTTCAACCCAACGAAGAAATATAGATGTAAATTGTGAAAAATTTGTAATTTGACCTGTTTGCATAGCTTGATCAAAAGTAACAAAAAGTGTATCACTAATATTTTGAAACTAATTCATAAAATATTATTCTAATTATTCTTTTACAATAAAATTAAAAAAAACATACCACTTTAAATTTTTGTTCATCATCTATTGATGCATTTGCATTTTTACTTGAATTGATATTCATTTGTAAAATATCTTCATATCCTCTATTTATAAAAATAAATAATCAATGTTGCAATATAAACAAAATTTTCAACAAACTTTTGAATAGTATGTAAACTGATTGTTTCTCGTTTTTTCATTTCTAATTCATTGCTTAACTGTTGTTTTTCTTTATTTAATTGTGCAAGAAAATCAGTAGCTAAAATATCGAAAGATTAGAAATAAAAAAAATAAAAATTTTTCTTTATTTTACATCGTTTAAGTATAGCTGCTTTACTGACTTTTTGTGAACTAATTGGATCAAGTAAATGACTATTGGGTACAAGACTTTGTAATGCATCATATCCTTTCTAAAACAATGATTAGTTTTAAGACTACATAATCAAATTTAGTTTACTCGAATAGCATTTCGACGTTTTTGTTCAGCAGCTGTATGAGCAGCTCGTCTTTGATTATCATCTCGTTTTGTATCATGTGTCGTTTTGGAAGAAATCGTTCCTGTATTTGAATCATCATCATCATCATTATCATCATCATCGTCATCTATTTTGAAAGAAAATTTACAAAAAAGATATTTAACAAACAACGTCCGATCGAAGCTTTTATTCACAAACCAGTTTGAATTTGAATCGGTGTATTTATTTGTTGAAAGGCTTGAATCGGTGTAGTTATTTGTTGAGGATATTGACGTTTTTTAAACGGTGATCCTCGTTGATCAGATATAGATAGAGTACGTTTTAATTGATTATTATCATTATAAAATTGAACATCTAAAATATTGTTCGAAATGTAATTAATCATTCAAATATTAATCTTTTTACTTTCACTGTATTGAGAAGTACTTGGTTGATCGATATTTAACTAAAATAAAAATGAATTGAATAGATATAAAAATTTTAATTATACTTTTATATGAGATTTTGCTGTTTGATGATTAACATCTTGTTGATGTTGCCAATAGTTTGTTTTACTTCTAGTTGATGGTAAATCCATCCGATCTAAAATCAAAAAAATTCATTCGAGATATATATGAATAAGAAAAAAATAAATCTTGAAAATAGTTGGTTTTTATTATTTAATAATTAACAAAAAATATCGAAAGTCAAAATCTGACTAATGAGAATTTGAACTCGCTCGTTGACATAATCGAGCAAGTAATGAAGATAATTGTAACTGGGATTCAACACCTTGACTAACACGCATATATGTAAGACCAATTTCCTTAAAAAAAACAAATATAATTTAATAGAGGAAAAAAAACGAAATTTCTATACTCGAATAAATTCTAATTGCATAAATTCACTCATTTGATAAGTTTTTGTTACACGCATTATCACAGAAAGAATATCTTCAGCTGTATAACCTAATCTCCAAAGATGATTCATTGCTTTATAAGCTTCATCGAGATCACTTTGAATACATTTTTCAATCATATCACGAATAAGAATTGGATGTGGTTCATCACAAACTTTAAATACATTTTCACTATTAACATGACCAAATCCAAATACAGTTGATTGAAGATTATTAATCGCCTAAAATAATAATAATCATGTTTTCAAAAAATCAATATAGAAAAACATTTTTTTATTACTTGTCTCATATCACCTTGAGCTGTAAAAATAATTGCTTCGAGACCTTCTGATGTATATGAAACTTGTTCAAATTTAGTTATTTCAACTAAACGTTTTAATAATTGTTCATCATTTAATTTTGAATATCTTAACATTGCACATCGAGATTGAATTGGTTCTTCAAAAATAAAATAAAATTAATTCAATTATTTATTAAAATCTATTTTTTTTAAATGTACTTACCAATTATTTTATCTGATGCATTACAAGCAAGAGCAAATCGTGTTGTTTTAGAATATAATTCCATTGTTCGACGTAATGCTTGTTGTGCACCTTCTGTCATACTAAATTAAGATTTTAATTCAGATTTTAATTCAAATGCTTTTTCTTTCTTTTTATTAACCTGTCGGCTTCATCAAGAATAATTATCTTATGTCGTCCTTTAGGTAAAGATACTTTCGATTGTGCGAACATTTTTATCTTTGTACGCACAACATCAATACCACGATCATTCGATGCATTCATTTCAAGGACAGCTTCACGAAATGCATCACCTAACATTTGTCTTGCAAGACAAAGAACACTTGTTGTCTAGAAGAAAAAAACAAAGAATAAATTTCATTTATTGCAAATTGTGAATAAAATATAACGAACTTTTCCACAACCAGGTGGACCTGATATAATTATATTAGGTAAATTGCCTTGCTGTGCAAAATGACTAAGACGTGAAACTGCTTCTTCATTTCCTACAATATCATTTAGTTTTGTTGGTCGATATTTTTCAAGCCATGGTGTATGTTTTATTAATGTCGATTTAGGAACAGCATCTGGTATTTTCGATTGTATAGGTACATCATTTTCTTTTGACATTGAAGAACTAATGTCAAGCATTTCAACATCATCTGTATTTTCATTACTATTCGCCATAACGTATTGGAATCTAGAAGAAAAAAACAAGTTCTATATAAAAAAATTTAAAAACAGTTTTTTAATTTTATTCTATATATTGGAAAAAATAAAACTAGAAATAAAAGATAGACACATTTGTATTAACAAGTATACAGTGGAAAAAGAACGAATACAATTACATTGGGCAATCGACGATCCCCTATAGATGGCTCTATTAATCCATAATCATCGTGACAAAGTAAACAGACATATGTATTCAATCAATTGCTATTTATAATGTATCGAACTTGAAAATGTATTAGAAGATAATCATAGTGAATGATCAGTAAAATTTTATGCAAGACAAATCAGATAATTTTAGTTTATGAATAAAGGATTATGCTCAGATTAAGATTTATTGTGTTTTAATTCGAGTAAAATTTGCAGAGATTATTAATGAGATTTTTTTTTAAATTTAATTCAATTGAGAAAAAAATTAATTTTAAGAAAGTATTCCCTCTATTTGATGGTTTTGAATTAATAATTATCGAAAGTGTAAAACCGAGAGATTCTTGAATCATTTTCAGAAGAAAATAAGCTTAATTCATACGCTGTTATAAATTAAGTATATAGATAATCATCTTCTAGTAATAAAAAGATCATTTATCAATACTTGTCGGACAGAAATATTATTCTTTGCGGAATTAATACATGATATTTTAATTCTTTTTAATCCCTATTGATTCACCTATATAATCCAGGTATACCGATAAGAGAACATTCCCAGGTGCACATTCACTTTTGACTTGAAGGCATACTTATTTTGTAGAGCTTACTGAGTTATGACTTGGGTGAAAAGAGTTCGTGCCCATGGCCTTCTATTTGGGGAAGAACGAATGTTTTTACTATCACGACTGAGTCATTTAAGCAGAAGAAAATCAGTAGTCTCAGGGCAATATAGAAGGTGTTTTATAATAACTGAGGATAGATTATTAACGAAAGAAAGGGGCGTAAAACGTCTAAAAGCAAAAAATAGAAAGTAAAATTAACGGAAGAGAACGTTGAAAAATGAATGAAAAGAATGAATTGATGTCTAGGATATTCGTACTTTTGAAAGCTAGAGAATGAAGGCGGAGTTAACAGTAAGAATGAGGGCGTTAGTGCGATACAGTATAAATTCACAATAGTTCCTACCTAGATTAACTCTGTGAATTGGAGGATACTATAAATATGTATTTGGAACTTTACTATTAATCCACTTTTTCTCTGTATTCAAATAAATATCTCTTCGTTATTCTTTTTGCCTACTAAAATGACTATATTTTCAGTCATAAGACTACATTTTGACATATATCCAAAAAAACGTGACATAGGTACATTCCGATTCGATACACAACAAATTGTACTCTTGAATAATAATGTTGTTTAAGCTTGATTCAACGATCAAAACATAATTTTACCAATCATATATGTATTGCTTAATCATTGTGCAGTGAATTGAATTATACGGTCAAATAATCAATAAATATTTTCAAATGTTTTCAACAGACTATTTATTCGAACCTTCTTACATTTGAAAGTAGGGTATATAGAATGAAACCATTTTCAAAACATTTCGATTACTTCCATAGACATATTTGTTTGCATATGATTTATTCACTTGTATTACATAACAAAAACAAGATCTATTCTATTGTCACTTATCGAATAGGAAAAAAGTAGATTTATTAAAACAAAGATCATTAACAAAAAAACATTATAAATCATTTATTTCAATTCAACAGAATTCTTATATAAAATAAACAGTTATGACTAATTTATAGTTAAAAGCAAGTCACAAATCAAATATCATTTCATAAATTGTTCGATTATTTTCCTAGATATTTAATTAATTATTAGATATCATTCTCACAACAATGGTACAATCTGATTCAAAAACAATTTTTTTTGTTGTTGACACAGACATGTATTTTGTATAGGTTACATATCACATGGTGATATTAGATTATATAAATATATAAAAAACCGTATTTACTAAATGTTGATGCTATATGCAAAATAATAATAATAAATAATTATTCAATTCTTAGTTATTTCAACCTATTCAAAAAAAAAATTTTTGTCGTTCTCTCTTACAAAATATATATATACATATATTTTTTTTTCTCTTCAATTCTTACTTTACTCTCATCCATTGTCAATACTTAACAAGAACGTATAGGAAGAAAAACGAATATTACATTTGATTACTTAGTCGAAAAAAACACCTCTTTATTTCTTTCGTTTTTTTTTTAATTGACTATATGACAAAAAAAGACTTGACAACTGCACTGGTAATGTGTATACATCCACCTACATAATCACAGCTATGATTAATTTGTAAAATTTTAATAAAGGTATTCAGGATTACAATAAAAAAATTGATTTTTTTTTTCTTAACTTATAAGTTATTAGTCTAGTTTCGAGATCAAAAGAACGCTAGTTTAAGTTTTTTTTTAATTAATAGATGGGAGAAAAAATAAAAAATTACTTTTTTTTTTCTACGATCAAAACACTTGATCGTTTGACATTTTCATGTTTTTCTGCTCACACAAAATATGATTTTTATTTTCATAATAATAAACTCGAAAACAATATTAAAGTACATTTTTTTTGTGGTATTTTTCAATTTACTGAAAATTCTAGAGCGAGGAAATGTTGTAAGATATATACGAAAAAAAAAATTCACCACTAATTCTATGCAATTTGTTTATTTAGGATATTATTTCATAAGTGGTTTAAATCTCGTTTTTAACAAAAAAAAAGCAAATGGCACGTAGAGAAGATCACCTTCGTCGTCATCATCATCATCGTCAAATTCATTATGCATCAATTTTACCGGTAACGACAAATAATGATAATTATCATGAACCATATATTGCTCGAAAACCAAGTGGACAAGATCGAGAGAGAGCAGTATGAGAATTATTCGAGTATACAAAAAACGATTTTTTTTAAATTTTCTATTTAGCTTTATATCGAATTTGAAAATGCATTTCAAGAGCAAACAACAACAAATCAGGACTATTTTGGTGTTCAAACATCTGAACAAAATTCTCATCCATCAACGAATATTCCTAATCAAACTGTTGAAACTATTTCTGAAATTGAAAATCGAAATCTTGTACCTCATATACGTTATCAAGCATCACGTGAAACTAGTCATTCATCGGATACACCACCTTATCAACCACGATATAATCATCATCCGAATCCTTCTCGACCTCATAAACATTTATCGAATGAAAATAGTCGTGAAAATCTTAATCAAGATTTTATGAATTTAACTCTACTACATTCAAATGATAATAAAGATATACCAACATCATTTACTAATGATGCTATTCGATCGAAAGCAAAACAACAACAACAACAACAACAAGAAATTATTCCGAATTCATCTATACAAACAAAAATAATCTTACCGCAATATTTTCTTGTCAAATATTTAGGTCGAGTACCATGTCCTCAATTATGGGGTGCAAAAGCAGTACGAACTCCTGTCGATGATATGGTACGTGCTGCTCGTCATCTATCATCTATGAATGAAATTCCAACATTAGAAGCATGTGTTAATACACGTGGTTTTACATTAACACATAGACATTCACCTACACGTACTAAACATCATCATTCACGTAATCATAGTCCCGAACGATCTCAACAGGGTCTTATTCCTCTTGAAAATATCTCCTATGTTATGCATGATAATAAATATTCTAAAGTAGCATCATGTATTGTATTACGTCAAGTTAAAACATTAACATCAGATCATAAAACTATTAATGAAACATTAACTGAATGTTATGCATTTTTATTTCAATCGAAAGAATATGCACATCGATTTGCTCTTGCACTTGCAGAAGCATTTAATACACAAAAACAATCAATGCGACCTTCAAGACAAAATCACGATAATAGAAGAGAAGGACGTTCACCTCAACGTCGTTCAAGACATCGACATAGTCATCATCGTGATAGATCAAATGAGAATTATCTAAAAGATTCACAAGTATGATACATAACAAAAAAACGAAAAGTTTTTTCTTGTTTCTTTATTTTAAAAATAAAAAAAAGTGTCTTTCATTTATTTGTGATCTTAAGATAATCATAACCAACTAATATTTCTATTTTTTTTTGTATATTATTATTTTTATTGTAAACATAACTTTCGTATATTGAACGATGATACAAATAACAAACATATTTTTTAATCAATTCAAAAATGACTATAAAAGAAGGTTTTCAAAAAAAAAATGACTAGTGCATTTAACAAAATGTGATTTCTTTTTTGTCTGTTTTATGACAAGAGATTTTGTTTGGTTTCTTTTAATGTATATGTCAAGTTTTTGACTTTTTATTTACTTTTATTTGTTTTCCTCTCTTTCTCTCTCTCAAGTACTTGTGTAATATATTGCAACATAAATTATTTTTTAAACTGAATATATACTAATTATTTTCTTGAATTAGAATTAAAATAAGATTTGAATAGTATGGATAAATAAAATCTATCGATTAGACGCGTTTTACGAGATAATTTTATTATATACATTTGATTATTTATAGCCTATTCGGATGTAGATATATATATATATTTTGGGTCCTCGATACTTGTTATTGTGCCTATAAAAAATAAATGAATTCTTGTGTATGATTATAGCAATAAGATATTTTAAGAAAATGTTGACATCGTCCAATGAATTCTAATCAGTTTGTTATCTGTTGAATTTTTGTTTTATAAACAATGAATAAGTTAATTTTCTTTTGTATACTTTTTTGTTATTAATCTAGATTTTAAAGAATTTCGATTTGTTTTTAGAAATATTTTTCGATCAATTTCATCTGTTATCTTATATGAATGAATGATTTTTATTCAATATTCAATTTATTTATTATTTTATTCAGCATCAACAGAGTTTGTTTTTCGAATAAACTATTCATTATATTATATTGCATAAGTTTCTGTAAATGTTTATTATATAGATTTCAATACAATTAAGTCTATTGTTATACTAATGAAGTCAATAGTATCACTTATACGAACAATTACAGTTTAAATAAAATCAGATAGTCAGTAGCGGATCTTGGATTTTGGCTAAAAACTATTTTTTGAGTCCAATCGAAGTAGTGTGAACCTATTTTTGCTGTGAAACATCGAAAAAGTTTTCTGAAGGGATGCGATCGCCCTCCCCTTAAATTCGCCACTGCAGATAGTTAGAATAGAGATGATAAGACAGAGAACTATTTGATCTATAGTGTAACATAGTACATGATGTTTATGTAATTGTTAATTTACATATTTATTTTTTATGTTATACATAAGGTCAATGATGTTGTATAAGCACTTAGTTTTATAGTCTTTGCGATCGAAAAGCTAACATGACATATTTAATCTATGGGGTCGCTTAGAAAAGAAATCGAGTTTTTATACAATAAAGATTTGATGTACTCTTATGAAAAGCATTACTTCTTATTGTCACTTATGGCAAAAGAAAAATAACATTGTCTAATAATAAAATGATATTTCATTTATATGTATATAATAGAGAATTTCTAAGACTTTTTATTTCTTTACAATACAAAGATTGATCAATTATCTATTATCATATCTAAAAATACTCGATTTCTAACCACTATAATATAAGATGAATGACATTCGAGTTGCGATTAATGAGACTTTTCATATTATTTTTTTGTCAAGATAAAATGTATTGTTTTTTTTGTTTTTCTTAATATTTAATTATATATTCTTTCGTTATAAAATTCAACGAATAGAAATTAGTTTTTTTTTTCAATATGAGATTTAATTTATCTGATAAATCATTTTAATAAATAATTAATCTTTGTTTCAATACTAATTACACAAATTAATAAAGTATGACAACATCATGTTTAAAAAAACTGAGATGACCTCATTGAAACATGTTATTATCACAAGTTTGTCTTCATCATTCTTATGGCATTCTATTTTATGTTTCCCCTATCTTTTCTTATTCATTGTTTTATGTCATATTCACTTATTTCAGTGTGCGTGTTTTTAAGAAAGAGACATTGCCGGCAGGCTTAGTGTTAGCAATGTTAGACTGAAAAGAAAAGAGAACGAGAAAGGAAGAGGCAATTGTTCAAGGCACAAAGCAAAGAGCGAATCTTGTCTTCCGATCAACTGTTCAAAAGTATCTACTCATCTTGTGTCGTCGGCCTCGTCAACTTGCCTGTTGTCATTTATAGTCACTCATAAAGCTAGTGGAAAAAAACGAAGAAGAAAAAAAAGAAGAAGAAGAAGATGAAGAAAAGAAAAAAGAAGAAGAAAAAGATAAGAAAAGAGCAAGCTCGAGATAAAAAATGTAATTTTCCTTATGTATGTTAGAATCAGTAAAGATAGAGAGAGGATGATCCGATCGTGAGTTCACATCGCATCGTGTCGTGAACGCGCGCGTTCAAAGAAAAATACTAATAAAATATTTCTCTATGTATGTCTCTGTCTTTTCCATTCTGTTTAGATCTGACTATCTTTCTCTCTTTCGTCTTCTTTCTCTCCTTGTCCCCCTCTCTCTCTCTCCTTCGTGTGTGAGTGTGGTGTATTAGCTCAAGGACTATGAATGCTAGTAGAGAAACGAACGACTTCAAATGCGAAGCGATCTAATGTGTGTTGTGTATATTCTATAGTCATAAATAATGATTCGAACAAAAAAAAGAATGAGTAAGAGAGATTATTGCGTGCTAAGTTATCTACTCAGAATCTATAGTAGACAAAATTATAATTTTTCTCTAAACACTTTCGACTTTGTTTTATGTTTTAGGTATATATGAGTGTGTGTTTGCATTTTAGATGAATTGACACATCATCAACATCATTATCGTTTCCATCACCCTTGTGTCTAGTTACACGTAGTGTATTGGCACTTTCTTTTTTTCTATTGTATTCGCTAGTCGATACTACCACTAGGTCCTTTCCCGGTTGCGCAGTGACGGCGCATGGATGGGTAATTTTCATCATAAGGCACTGATGGTATGTGCTGCGGTCAGTGCCTATACTGCGCCTGCACTTATGACCGTTTGTTTATTTACTGATCATTGGATCTATGGAAATCAAACAAGATTATCACAAAATCCAACAATAAAAGTAGGCGAAATACGAGTTGTAAATTATACTTATCATCGAATTGGTTTATGGCAAGAATGTGCAAAAGAAGTAATGGATGCTCCATATATATGTGAGATTGTTAAATGGTCAAAAGCAGAAGCAAAATTAGAAAAAGGTTTTAAAGCTGTATCATGTAAGATTAAAAATTTCAATTTTCCTTTTTTTTTCCTTAAATTAAACTTTTGTTTTTTCTTCTCCAAAAATTAGATCGATCAGCACCTAGTATGGTTTGTTTTTCAGCTGCATCCGTTCTTTTAATAATTGCTATATTTTTGTTTACTCGTGGTCTTTGTAAACGACGTCGAAAAGCTGTTTTCTTCATCTCAGGACTTTTATTTTCTATCTCAGGTAAAATATATTTCAGTAAAAAAAACTAGAATTCAATCTATTATTTTTTTTATAACAAATAGGTTTACTAACCATGGTTGGCGTTACCTTATATGTTTCAATTACAACAGAAGAATCAGTTAAAATCGATCAAGATCATCCGGTGATGCAATGTTCCTATGGATATTCGTTTTTATGTGCTGTTTTATCATTTGTTTTACAAGAATTAACTGGTGTTTTAACTGTTTATTGGTTTATCTATCGTTTTCGTGCACTCGTACGTAAACAAGAAAAATTACGTGAACGTACTCGTCAACTTATGGGAAATTGTCTATCAATGACAACTGCTTTACCATTCAATCTCGCTTCATTTCCTCCAACAAATAATCATAGTACAAAACCGATTGCAAATCGTTCAAATCAAAATCATACACAGTATCCATATAATATATCCAATGATGTATCGAATCCATTAATACATAAACAAAAAAGACGTTTACCATTTGATACATCATATACATCATCGTCATTACAACGAACTGATAAAATATCTTATTCACCACGATCACCAACAGTAGCTTATGGTGATTATTGTCGTGTTTTAATTCGTGCTGAAGATATGGATTTACTTACACAAATGGTTAAATCAAAATCACAAGCACAATTATTAGCAAATTCAAGACCGACAACACCAGCACCATTGATAAATTCAAAAATTACAACTATTACTCATATATCACGACCCGATAATGATAATACAATGCGACGAAATTCAAAGAAAGGTGTTAAACGGACTACATCTGTTTAATATACATCTATATATATATATATTTTTTTGTCACTTTCTTTATTAGTTGTTATTCTCTATTTCGTAATTACTATTTAATTTTCAATGAAAAGAAACACATGAATATCCATGTGCCTTTGATTTAAAGGAATATTTTTGATAAGATTTCGGGATATACGAAATATTTTTATTGAATCACCTTGAAAAATAACATTTCTTCGTTCTTTTGTCGATTGATTATAAAAAAAATGAAATCATTTCAGTCTATTTAGTTGTTATATCTACATATATATATGAAGGCTTGAGCAAATATTCGTCGTATCTGTTGTCAATATGCCGCCTACTATTACCATGTGGTGCCTCAATTTCATTGCTGAATTAAGAGAATCATTTTCTTTTTTTTTCTCTTTTTTACTTCGCTATGTGCTGTTGTTGTGTTTGTCAAAAATCCATACATGCGCTTTGGTTGGCATGACTTTCAATTATATAAAGAAACAACAACATGTCCTTCTATTTCCATTCTCTCGTTTTTTTCTTTTTTACATTTAGCATTGCTTCTCACAAGTATATACGCACACATACACGTTCTTCCATAGTTAAAAGTAGAAGCAGGAAAAAAAAAGAAACTTTTCGAGTTAATATACTGGCATTGAGATTGATGTTAAAAGAAGAAAAAAAATAACATGAAAGGTATTGGTTACGAAAACATTTATTGCAGTGCGCACAATCAAGAGAAGAAATATATGAAAATAAACTGTGAATTACTTTGTCAGGTTTCTATACGACAAATTTGTTTATTTTGCTCTTTTCCAGATATATATTTTTCATAACACTATGGCATACATAAGTACAAGTCCAAATAAACGTACTACTACAAGCTCGGGTAGTTCGCGCGGTAGTTTTCAACATCAACAACAACAACAACTACCAACAACATATGTACAATCATCAGATCAACATATTTATGAAGATCAACCATATTATTCCAATGAACAAATCTTTCCTAGACAAAGTGCCAGTCCTGAAAATCGAAGAGCTGGAGGGGTTTGTTAAAATATTTTATTTTTTTTTCTTGCCTTAAATAACATAAAAGTCCTTCAACTGAAGAAAAAAGAAAACATATTAAATATTCTCATTTTGAGCTTTTGGAAAAATTAATCATTAAATACTTTTAATTAATTAAATTAATGATTATATAATTTTTCTATCAAAGGTACAATATCGTGTCAAAATGAATGTAGGTATCAATAAAATTATTTCTCTAAGGCCATCAATTCATATATATATATACTCAATGCACGCATTGATATTACTTATAAAAAAAAGAAAGCTTTGGCACATAGCTTTTTTCAAATATCCAATCTGCTTACTCCACAGTAAAATAAAATATATTGAATCTATTGAGAAATTATTGCTTTAATATAACAGGGTACTTAAGAAATATTTCTATAGGTAGTTTTATTTGAAAAGAGCAGCATAATAAATTTATCGGTTAATATCTAATATTGACATGTAGACACTTCAATTTCTCTTCGAGCATTATGTATAACCACAAAACAGGACTCGAATATACCGTTTTTCTTTACGCCTTTTTTCAATATTTGTCACTGAGACAACATGCAATGAATAAATAAATGAATTGGCCGCAATTCAAATACCTTGTTATAATAACTATCATCATACTGCTAATATCTGATTGTTCATTTTTTCTTCTCTCTCGTTTTGTTTAATATATTCCGCCTAGGTAGTTTTAGATAGTAAATTTTTTCATTGATTTCTCTTTGTTATATTTCAAACAATTATAAATGTAGATACTTCATAAACTTCTTCAGACTACACTTATATATAATGCTTGAAAATGTATATATACGTTAGTTTTCGCTCGTTTATAAAGCTTCAAGTGACTAGTGATGGTACTTTTGCAATAATAACATATACATATATACATAAGCATATAAATGAAAAAAAATTTTTTTAAGTGACCGCAAGTATATATATATATATATTCAAACGACAGTGAGAAGTTGTCGGTAGCTATATTCTTTCTTTCTGTCTTAAGAGAAAGAAAATTTTCGTCTTATCAAACATCGCATGTGTGTGTGAAAGAGATGTAATATCGGCAAAGATTTAACATGTCTCTTATGCTTCTATTCATTTCTTTCATTTTCTTTTAGTCTACATGCTTATGTGTGTCCTGTTTGCATATAATTCCCATTTCTCTTTCTCTCTTTTCCCTTTTGGTCTTTACCTTTAAGCATATTCTTCGCTTTTATTTCTCTCTTTCTCTCTCCCTCTCTCTCTCTTGTTCTTTCAACTAATGTCTCCCCTTTACTTGTCCGTTCAACAATAGTTTGAAAAAAAAACCGGACAAAGAAAAAAAAAGCACTACGCATAGGGCAACATCTCTTTTTCTCATACACGAGAATTGTTTGACAGATTCATCGTGTAAATGAGATGTGCTTATTAACAGCATTATACTACTGCTTTGATTCTAATTAATTTTTTCACAACAAAACAAAAAGAATATGGAAGACGATTTAGTACGCGTGAGTGTTAATTATATCGAAAATAATTCGAAGACTATTTCTTATATTACAAATAAATAGAAAACATACACATACATATATATATATAAACATTATTTTTTTGTAGGTGACTTATAACAATGGTGACGGTGACTATAATCGATCATTAAATACAAATCCAAAAGTTAGTAATGGTCATTCATCGTATCAATATAATTCACATAGTATCGGTCAAGATCAATTTCCATGTTCGAATTGTGATCGAAATTTATCTGGTTCAAGATATATTTTAAAAGATGAACGTCCATATTGTATTAAATGTTATGAAGATCGTTTTGCTAATACGTGTGAAGAATGTCGAAAAAAAATTGGTACTGATTCAAAAGTTAGTTAAATTAAAAATTTTTATTTAATGAAGATTTATGATTGTTTATCTTTTAAAGGATCTTTCATATAAAGATCGTCATTGGCATGAAAAATGTTTTTTTTGTTCAATGTGTCGAACACCACTTGTTGATAAGCCATTTGGTTGTAAAAATGAACAACTTTTTTGTGGTGAATGTTATAATCAACAATTTGCTTCACGTTGTGATAAATGTCATCAAATATTTAAGCCAGGTGAGAAGATTATTTATTATTTGAGTTATATAATTATAAAAAAGAGATTTTTTTTTATTTGTTAAGGTAGTAAAAAACTTGAATATCGTGGACAACAATTTCATGAACATTGTTTTACTTGTCAATCATGTTCACAACCTATTGGAACAAAAAGTTTTATTCCAAAAGATCAAAAAAGTTTTTGTGTTCCATGTTATGAAGAAAATTTTGCAACAAAATGCACACGTTGTCATAAGGTATACTGATATATATATGTTATTTTTAGTTTCGATAAATCTTATGTTTCTTTTGGTTTGATAGGTAATAAATCAAGGTGGTGTAACATATAAAAATCAACCATGGTATAAATTTAATTTTGAAAATAAATTATCTCTGGAATCATTTTCTGTTTTGTTTTACAGGCATCGTGAATGTTTTACATGTACAAATTGTAAAAATTCTTTAGCTGGCCAACGATTTACATCACGAGATGATCATCCATATTGTGCTGATTGTTTTGCTCGACTTTTTGCTAAAAAATGTTTTGCATGCAATAAACCAATAACTGGTAAAATAAAATAGATATAATTGAAAAAAATTAAAATTCAATATTCTATTTCATAGGTGCTGGTGGTACACGTTATATATCATTTGAAGATCGTCATTGGCATAATGATTGTTTTGTATGTCAACGTTGTCGATCATCACTTGTTGGGCGAGGTTTTCTTACTGAAGGATCTGATATTGTTTGTCCTGATTGTGGTAAACGTACACAATATCATGAAACAGAAAATAATACTTTTACTAGTGGACATCGTAATGTTGTTAGTTATCATCATAGAACAAGTTAAAAAGAATATATGAATATTTTTATTCAAATATATACTTTGAATGATGAAAAAAGAAACAACAGAATTTAATCTGATCTCTTTTTTTTCTCCTTTTTGAATGACTGACAAAACTAATCAATTTGATTATTTTATTGAAGATATTAAAAAGAAAACTAACCAAGAAATTATGAATTCTTCCAATTTTTTTCTTTTTATTCTCATTTTTTTCTTACATTATGTCTCAGTTTCTTTTTTCTTGCTTGTATCTTCTCTCTCATTTTTTTTCTTCTTTTTTTTTTCGATAATGAATAGACAAACAAAAAAACAATTTCTATACGTATTACATAAGCAAATCTTATAATATATTCCATCAATATGCTTATTCAATAACTAAAATTTTCAATTATTAAATGTGACATCATTATAAAACCGAATATAATCTTAAAGAAAAATAAAGATTAAATCACGTTTTTTCCTTCTCCTCTACAAAGAATAATCACAGCATGATAAAACTATTTATTTATATATTATTCATATCGATTGAAAAACACAGCAGGAGAACTATAACTTATTTTGTTCGATGTCCTCAAGATAAGGAAATAGTGGAGTGACTATAGGTTAAGAATCACAATTTTTCAATTAAGTAAATAATCTAAAGGCATTTAAGATCAATTGTTTTCGTCTACTAAATATTCTTTAGAAATAGTTTATTTTTATTCAGGCTCTTTCATATGCACATGAATGTGACCATTGACTTTTAATCATTGTAATTTCTACTATATTTTACCTAGAGGGGACAGAAAAATAAGAGTACTAACTTTCATTATGTATTATTTCGAATTTGTTTATTATCTGAGCCTGGATGTACTTGAATGAGAATATTATTATATTTGACACAATTTTCTATAGTGCTGAAATTTGATCTAATAGTTAATCGATATAGCATTGAGATAAAACTTTCTTATATATGCACGAGTCTCAAGTGATCATGATAGAATCAATGTAATTTTCATAAAAGCAATTGATAATTTGTAGATAAAGATTAATCTTTAATTAGCTTTAAAAGCTTTATATGGATAGAATACATGAATTTTATTTTGTTTGTTTGTTTGAAACTATGTTTCGAGAATTCGAACAAAAGAAGTATTTTGTCCGTTTGTTGTAATTATGCTAGTTGATTTACACAGCAGATATAAGAGAGACAGAAAAAATTAAACACAAAAAATAACAACATCAACATAAAAATCCATTGAAGTTCTTCTCGATTAAATAATTACATAATTCATTCGATAGGTTCTTTTTTTATTTATCATCTTTTTTCTTCTTTGCTGTTTCATCATTATCATCGGTACTTCGTTTTTGTTGTTGGACTTGTTCAAGTGCAGCACGTACAGCTTCACTATCAACATCAACACCTGGTAAATCTCGAAGAACATCACGTAGAAATTGTGGATCATTAAGTGAAGCTGCAAATGAATCCGGATTTTGTTGTTCTTCAGTTGTCTATTATACAAAAATATACATCTAATATTTCAAAAAAAAGCAACTAACTTTTGTTGTTTGTTCACCAGTAGGTTCTTCTTTCATTTCAACCTCATTTACATCTAAAATAAAAAAAAAACTAATTAAGAGAAAAACTAAAATAATGATACATACTACCACTTTCAGCTTGTGACATTGACATTTGAATAGCTAATGCAATTTGTTCGTCTTCTGTAAGACGAGTTACATCCATTTCATTAGAACCTGTTTGAACATCTGATATTGTACCTAGCAAAAAAAACTGATTAATTATAAAAGAAAGAAACATTAAAATTTCATTACTAGAAGTTCCTATGGCTGCTGTTGAATTTTGTTGACCTCCTTCATTACCTGTACCACGACCTATTTCAGCTTCTTGTACACGTCGTTGTTCTTCCATTGAAATACGAAGTGCCTAAAGATTTACAAAAAGAAAAAACGAAATGATTTTATTGATAAAACTATTAATATAATAATTAACCATAGCTAATTCAGGATCATCTTCAGGATTAATTCCAAATGCAAAAGCACTAGCTGAATATCCAGTTGGTAAACCTGAACCATCTTCACTTTGAATAATTGGTGTATTAATAAGTGTATCAGGTAGATTAGCACCAGATGGAACACATATTAAATGACAACTAAATAAATAATTCTACAATTAATTATTCTCTATATTTTAAAAATTTACTTTGTATTTTCTTTTCCATTGACTATCGTAATAAATTCTTCAAATTTTTCTTTTGATGACTAAAAACATATGATTAAATATGAATTCGTATATATATATATATACTAAAATATTCTTACTTCATCACCGAATATGACAATATCAATGGATATTTTTTCTTTTTTTAATCGTTTTGCTAATTTTGTAAATTCACTTGTATCAACATCAAGTGGACTACCAACAAAAGCAACAATACGTGGTCGATGATTTTTTCCTTGACGATGTTTCAATGCTAACTATCATAAACAAACGAAATAAATAAAAACAATCATCATATTTTTCTATTCCTTAACTTACATTAGCAACTTTAATTCCTTTACAAAAATCAGTTTTTCCTTCTATTGGTAATAAATGTAATTTTGAAAAGACTTTGCCCACATCATTCGTTAATTGAGTAACAACTCTTCCACTAAAAACAAAAATAAATCGATTTCAAATCGTTTATTATGAATATATATCTATTATACTCTGAAAGTGTAAGTAATCCAACATTATTTTCTGGATTTGATCTTGTTTTAGCATGAAATATAAGTGAAACAGCATCTTGTTGTGCTTGCATTCTTGTCGGAATAAAATCTCCATCACGCATAAAATCACTATTGTCAATACTAAATTTTCAAAAAATATAAAAGTTTTTCATTTCTATGAGTATGATTATTCTCACCAGATAATCGTACTTTCAAGTGGCATAATTAAATTTTTCTTCTTTGAAAATCTAAAACAAATGATTGCAAATTTTCTTCTTTCATCATCACTTATTATTTAACATTATATTGAAACAAAAACACTGTTCTATACATAAATTAACACAAAAACAACGCGACGAACATCGTTCGAGAGAGATATAGAGACAAAAAGAAAATTGAAAACGATATGTTGCATAGACTAGCCATAAGACAGATGTATGTGGAATGAAGATGATTCATAGCACCAGAAAATTCTACTAAGATAATCGTTGATTAGGTAATTCATTTTGACTTGCAATACGTAATGCACGAATCCAATCTTTACGTTCATCATCAGATGATGCTGACATTCGATAAACTGCATGATTACCTAAAAAATCAAACAATTGAATTATTTCAAATACAAAAAAAAAAACAATATGATATTTCATACTTTCAGTAGTTTTAGCTTGTTCACCAGATGTTGGTTTACTTGTTTTAAGTCTTTCGCCAGTAAGTGGAAAAAGTTCAAAACAATATTGTTTTGCACGATCATCATCGATTTCTCGAACACCAACATCAATTAATGAAACTATACCACGAGGATTTTCAACTTCCTATAAAACAAAATTTTTATTTATATTTCATAATAAATTCTATTAAAATAATTTACTGTTCTAGTTTCATAATAGAAAAGACATCCATCTGTAATAACAAACCATCGTCGTTTCCAATTTCGAACACGACCACCTAAATATTTCATGTATTTATTTATCTATATTTCTTATCTCTTTTATTTACCTTGTTTCCATAACCATCCTTCTTTAATAATTGTTGAATCACTATTAAATATAAATACAATATAATCTAATATTTAAACTAGTTTAATAGGACTGATCATAATAATTTGTTGATGAATATTATGAATAGACTTGTCGTGATTGAATATAGTCGAATTGAGATATACTGTTTAGACAAATCTATGAATATTTATTTATCAATAAAATCTCAATAGTTCTGTAAGTATACATCTTCCTCATGGATTATAGATACTCTTTCGGATGCATACAAACGTACTCTGAAGTGTGGCGCAATCTTTCTAATTTTTGTTAACACGTGTATTTAATCGTATCTGTCAGTTTTGAACGCAAATTTCACCACTAGATAATGAAAAATGATTTGAATTCTCCATCTGATCCATGTCACTAACAGATCTCATATGTTGAAGCAGTCTGGTAGGAATTTAGATTAACTTCAACTAATGTAAATTGTAAAAACATATATCTATCTACATGATCTTAACAAAACCTTGTTTTCGCACAGTTTTATTTATACCAAACAGCTACATAGAAAAAATTCGAGTCATCGTGTTTCATTGCTGGAAGCAGTCTCCAATCAAAATAAAACATCTATTTCGAAAATCTTTTTCTCAATTAGATACCTCGAGTCACTGACTACAAGACACTCATAAAACGTACCTTTCAATGTAAGATATATTTGTCCTAACAGAAAAGTGCACTCATATCATCCTCAGTTGATAGATAGTAAGCAATTTATTCTCTTTATTAATTATTGAAAATTATATTTACCCTTCTTTGAGTCTCATACTGTCAGTCATTGAATTCGTATCTTGATCTGGAAATTTAAATTCATTATTTTTAATATTATCATAAATATTCTAAATAAATCTAATATTTAACATCTCGAAAGAAAACAAAATATTTATCGTCAAATTTACTTTAATAAGACTTGTGTCAGGCATTTGTGGCTGTGCAATAGCTTCACTTAAACTACTAAGAAATTTTTCATATGTAAATGGTCCACCCAAACGAGCACTCTTATTATGTAATGATGTATTTAACATAATTATTGCATATGATAAAATAAAACAGACTTCTATAATTATCAAAGAATAAAATAGAATTAAAAACAAAAGAAATATTTAATATATAACATACCAGCATTTGCATAACTATCTGGATTGCATTCATAATAACGTTGAGCAAATGCTTCTATTATTCGTTCAATTTTTTGTGCTTCACCTGGAAGAAGAAACATAAATAAATAACGTCTAAAATTAATTAAAACTATATATATATCATAATTAAATTTTATAAAAAAAAATAAAAACCTGAGTGCTTCAACAATATCTATTGAAAAAAAATCGTGCATATGAGCAAATTGCTTGAGTACATCAATATAAAAATCATCTCTATTTATTCAAAGAAACAAAAACTTTAATCTTAGAATAAAATCTGGTTAAATAATATACCTTTCTCCAATATAATCTCCAATTGCACGTTTACTTAAACCTGTTTCATTAAATAGAAATTTTGCTATATGTTCTGGTGTATTTTGTAGAAGATTATTTTCAACAAGCCAACGTATACCCTAGAAAGAACAAGAGTAAATTTTTAATTTCGAACTATTTTAAATATATATTTACTTCTTTTGGATTTTCATTAAATTGTCTTTTACCAATAGACCATTGTTTAGCATTGGGATTATGACGACTAAAATGACAAAAACTGAAATGAATATATTTGTATAAAAAATGAAAAAAAAACCTTAACAGTCGAGATTTTTTTAGTGAAACTGTTACATTAAAATGACGAGAATAACGCATTGGTTTTAATGGTTGAATTGTCGGAGAATGTGTTGTGTGATGTTTATCAGGAGGTGAGATATGGTCAAGTATACGCGTACGAAGGTTATGAGATTTTTGCTCAGATTTTAAACCATTCGGAGAATTTAATTGATTCTCAGAACTTCGACTTTTCTCAACTACGTTTGATAAATTTTTTTTATTAGCATCAAAGGCTCGAAATGAAAATCTCTCTTTATGTCTCTCCATAGTTGTCGTTGTTGTTTTTGTTGCTAATGATGACACGAAGAAAAAAAACTATTGATGATATAGATATAATTCAATATGAAAAAACTACGTGTTTCAGAAGGGAAAAAATGCGACGCTTGAATTATTTTCGTCGCACTTTGAGTTTTTTTTTTCTTTTTGCCCATTATTCCGATGACTAACCTGGACACGACCAATATATTCAACGTTTCCTTTATCTTTTTTTGCTATTCGATTCATACTCAATGACAGAAATATACAAAATAATGAATCATTTATATTACATTATTTCGTCTATTTTATACATACTCATTATTGTTGTGACTTTGTATCATTGACATTTCGAATTCATATTGAGCAATTTTTTCACGGATTTCCTTAAAAATAAATAAAACATGAAATGTTACTATAAAAATCATGTTTTTATATTTATAGAGGTACACCGACCTTTCAAATTACATGTTTTCATTACCTTTTCAACTACAAGTCAAACATGTGAGATGTTTTTCTTTCAACTATGATATATATTAGTATCATTTTAGAGTTGGAATAAGAATACTCATACCTCTATTTCTAATACATAAGAATGTATCCCTCTATTTATGATTTTCTTAAATAGTCGACCAAAGCCGCAGTTTCGAGGAAATCATAAACGATCTGACTTTCTCGATTTGAAAAAAAATGTAGTATTTTTTCCATGGGTAGTCACGTGAACATTTTCATTAGGTTCTTTTCAATCACGTGATATCACCGTCTAATGTAAAACTACTTTTCCTATAGAATCTGATAAGTCTAATGAATTTTAACATACTTGAATTTCTTTTTTTAATAATTCTTTTCGACGACGAATTAAATTTACAGGAACATGTGTACTAAGAATAGCTCCGTTTCCTAAAATAAAAGAGATATACAAGTAAATCCATTTATGATTTAACCTACCGGAACCATTGAGTGTCATTTTTGTAAATAAATTTTTAATCTAAAAAATTAATAAAATATCGTTAGCTTTCTTTTATTTTTCTTAATATAAAAATGGAATAATTCTATAAGGAACACGCTGACAATATTCATCCCAATCACGACCATATTTTTCTCTACATCTGTCATAATCAGTTCTTTCTCGAGCAATAAATAATCCAATATAATACAATGGATATAACCATGGATATATTCCACCATTAATTGCTATACTAAGACCAATAGCCATTAATGTATCACCTAAATAATTAATATGTCGTGAAAGTGACCACCAACCTGAACAAAGTAACCGTCCATTCACTGATATTGGTTGAAAAATATTTAGAAATTTTTCATTTGGTTTTGTACGAAATAAATGTTTTTGATTATTTGCACCACGTGATAAAATCCATCCAAGAAAAAATACGCAAATACTTAACAATTGTCGAATAAATGATAATGATGTTGAATTAATCTTACACCAAATAGCAATTGGATAGAAAAATGGATAAAAAACAAGACAACCCCAAACTAATTTAAAACCAACATATTCAATTATAAAATCAAATGTATACAAATGAACATGTTCATGATAAAAATATTCTGTTGTAAAAAAACTAAATAAAATAATATATGTACTTATATTTGTCATGGATTTATTTTCTTGTGCATGTTCAAAATAAAAGAGAATTAAATTAAGTTCTAATCCAATACCTCCGATAAGATAAAGTAAGATTTTACCATCGACATGATTACCAAACCATTGAGGATTTTTTAACCGACCAAGATAAATATCAAGTAAAAATGATGATGATTTTGGTTTATGCGGAATTACAAGAACAAATGTAAATATTAAACCTATTAGACAAGCACAAATAGCATGTTTTAATCGAAGTTCTATCAAATATTGTATATCAATAAATTCGAAGTATCCAATACAAAGAATAAATGAAAGACTAACAATAAGAAAAACTCTTAAACCATTAAGACGATAGTATAATGGACCATCTTGAACATAACCTCGAACGTAATGAGCAGGAACAACGAGATGTAACAGGGTAATAAATGTATAAATGAATGAAATATGAATAAATGCAAAGAACCATTCATTTAAATCAAGGACAGTCATATTTTCAATGAAAAGAATATTGATAACTGATGAACTGAACACAATAATGAAGAGTCAAATTTCAAAGGAAATACGTAAGTTCAAGAACAGCTGTTTTTATGACGTGATCATAATGAAGAAAGAAAAGAAATAAATATTTAACATTTACGGGTAAAACATAGTAAAGATTAATGCTTCCAATTCATCCACTCGTCTGTGGGAAGAGAAAAATAGTTTATTGGTCATCTTTTATTCAACTATTGCATTGCTTCTATCAGATGTCGTTAGATATCTGATATATAATTCTTACACCTTGTAAAATTCTATTTTTTTACAACATTGACATGGTGCTCAGTCACTTGATTTTAAAAAATACGTCATGTAGACATGTATTGAAGTATGACAACAACACGAATGATTGTTTAATCAGAGTCATGATTATCCTTTTTCCTTTCGTTAAATACAATATAGTATTGTAAATTCAGTAATGTATAGATATATCACTTTGCTACATATTTTGTATGTTTCCATTGTTTTCTTTGGTTTTTGAAAATATAGAATGATGTGATACGGTTGACTGAATTGTTTGCATGTAACTAAATATAGACTTGTTCTAATCACCTATTATTAGTACTATAATATCAAGAATAATGTGCGATATTATCATATCAATTTACATTATTTGATTACTATAATTAAGAAAACGATTACGAGAATGTATAAATCATTCTTAAAATAAATTCTCTTTTATATGCTTTCTTGTATCAATATGAACGATTGAGAACAAATGACTTCACCATTGCTTATATGCAAAATATCGAATTCAAAGTATGAAATACGAAAATAAATATATACAGAACTATTGTGATATTTTCACGGCAGTTTACGATCGTTATACTTTATGAAGCGACTCACTGTATTTCATCATTGAAGATAATCAAAACGACTAAATACTGAAAAGGAATAATTCCATTTTGATCGATGTAAGGATTGAATAACTTAAAGGATAAACATATGCTATAAATACTAAAATGTGCAAAAAGATTTTGATATTGAGAGAAATACATGATTCTCTACAAATCTCTTATTTTCAAAAATAAGAAAATACCAATGGAACAGAATAACCAAGTACTTACATGTCTAATATAAAATAATAAACAAAACTCAGTATTGATGAGGAATGTAAAGGTGTATTTCCTAGAAAAAAACATTCTAATACTAACAATACATCCCTTATTATTGTTTCTAAAATATTTAAAAAGAATCTCTATTAGAATATACTCATGATGGACGATGCTTGTTTACATCTGTTTATTATCATAGATATTAATATCTGCAATGTAACAAAAAAATTATTGAATTTTTTTTTCAAAATTAAAATCAAAAATTTTCTAATATAGAAAAAGAAAAGATTTTACTTTGATTACTACTTCTAATATATCTATTCTTTTCTTTTATGAATCATATATAAAATAGATAAAAATGCGAAGATCTTATTTAATATAAATTCATAGTTTCTTCTCATATTTTTCGAAAAGTAACACAATAATATAAACAAATGTTAGACATTACACTAAAAAAGAAAGAAAAAAAGAATGACTTTTAATAAACAAGAATGAATATCATTGAACAGGATGATATGGACATGGCAATTTTCTATTACATAATTTATTATTTCGAAGTTTGGTTTTAAGAACAGTTCTACAGAATTTAACTGTCGTTGTGGTAACTGTTGTTGTTTTTGTTGCAACTAATTTACGTTGTCGTTTACCAGGTCGTTTTCGTAAATTATATAATTTAATAGCTGTTGTTTTTGTTGTAAGAATAGGTTTTAGATTATCTGGTCGACGTGCAGCTTGTTGTCGCATTTTTTTAAGTAAATATGTTGATGAAACAAATGGATTTGAAAATGTTCGACGTTGTTTTGTGATAGAATATCCACTACTACTAATACAAAAACATTTTGATGATGCAAGTTGTAAAAGATCATCCATGGCATCATCATTTTCAGTAGATAATTGTTGTTGTTTATGTTCAAAATAATGATGTGAACACATATTTGAACGACAATGAAAACAATGAACATCAAACCGTGTTGCACATTGATCTACAGTACATAACGTCGGACTTTCAGAAACTGTATCGGGAGCTACCGTTGATGTCATTTATGTTCAAGTAAGTTGTTACCAGAGAGACAGAGATATATATGTATTCGTACTCACGAGTGAGGACTAAGCTAACAACGATGACCGATATATGAACCCGTTCCAACCGACGTTCGTGTTCGTGGTGGTAGTAGTAGTGTTGAAAAAAAGGAAAAGGGAGGAAAGAAGAAGAAAGATGTCAGGAGACATTGTAGTGACATCTAAAGTTTGACTTTAGTCATTATTAAACTTAATTCATAAATGACAATTGTATATATATGTTTATAATAAATAGGTTATTTATTGAACATATTAGCTTAGATTACACTTCATAATATTGAGTGTAAATAAATGAGTGATAGAAATCAAATAGACATATCAGTTTTATATTCTATTTATTCAATGTCTCATTTATATATGTTAAAATTAAACAGATGTTGCAATTAGATAGATCATAAATCATTCTCACAAGTATTATAGATTTCGTTAAATTTTTTTTCTTTTTGAGTGTAACTGTAAGTCATCTTTCGAAAAATGATCAGTTCGATAAATGCACTAGAAATAGCTGCAGTTGTGAAGTTTTTGATGATATCCGAACTTGAAAAGCATTCCGAAGAATTAAATCTCGATATGATTCTTTTTCTCGATAGTTTATTAAATCAGATATCTGCAATATATTATGTTTGAGTTTGAATACTAGCAGGTACAAAATAATATCGAAGAAATTACGAATGATTGTTTGCTTCAAATCACACATACAATATCGTACTGATTCAATTGTTGATGTAAACAAAATATTCTTGTGAATAGCATATAGCCTGTTTGTATACAGAAAGAGTTCAAATGATTATACGAAAAAACTCTGAGATAGATCAGTTTTTTGTTCTGAACTATATCAAGGTATTGAAATTACTTCTGAACAGTATTATAAGTGACAGAGTAGCCGAAAGATTACATTCTTCTTTATAAATATGATATAAATACCAATAGATATACTATATAGACAACCTCATTGTTCATCACACATATTGAACTGCAGACAATCCTTTTACTTGATTGCTGATCAAGCTGAGTAGATATATTTATTTTAAGGTCCCTCTTCAAAGAAAATCTTTCATCAATTTCATTTCGTCATCTTCTTCAAACAAGATCTGCATCTCTCTTTCTTCCTTCTTTCTCAGAGATATTATATCACAATACGAGATAAAGTCAAATATTTTTGTTTTGTTGAAAAAGTGTGAAAACTGCAGTGCGTATGGGATCCGGTGTTTCGAATGATTGAATTTATCATCTTTTTTTCCGCTAAAAAAATAAGAATTGAAAGAAAAGGACTCCCATAAGTCCTGGATTCTGATGCGCTCTTTCAAATAAAGAGAAAATCTATAGAACGAAGGCTCACGGAGAACTTAGACGGATCAAATGAGCTATTTTTAACTCTTGTTTGATAGATACCTGCCTCAAACATCATAATATAGAGCTGAAAATTCCATGATATTTTAATCTACCTGAATTGAGGCTAATTACATAATAAGATACAAATATAGATTTTATTTTTAGAAATATTTGTCCTACAATGTTTTTGATGACAAAATATAATACCTATATGACTTATCGACTAGCAATCTATTTAATAAGCTGTCGTTAGTGTATTGTTAAGTATAGAATTAGATTTCTTTATTTTCATGAGTTTAAATTACGTTTTATATTTTCAAATAACTATGAAAAGTTGACATTTGTATAATCAGTTTTATTTTTTCTACTTAATGATTTTAATAAAGTTAGTTTTTCATTGATTATACTTGTTGTTGGTAATATTATTTGTTTTGATTTTTTCGACATATTTTTAAGAATAAAATATCTAAATATATGATATACACCAATGGTAATACTAATCAGAAGAAATAAACTAATTAAAATTGTTATTAAATTTAAATGTGATCGATAATATTGTTGTTCAATTGGTGTTTGATGTTTATTTGTTTGTGTATGTGGTTTGAGATATTGAAGGAGATATTTTTGATTTTTCTTCTTATTTATTGTATCATCTTTGATATTATTTAATACTGATAATACACTTGGAGATTTATTTACCATAATAAATTGTAGAAAAAGAAATTTTTATGAAAAAATGAATGCGCTTAAAATTTCAATTTGCTTTTTATTTATATGAGTGTTGATATTTTCAACTTGAAAATAATAAGAGAAAAGAAATGAAAGATGACTTCATCATATGAATCGGTCAGAAACAAACGAACACACACGTAAATGATGTGGAAATACAATGAACAAAAAGAAATTTTGTTTGAGAAGGAAAAAAATCATCATTGAGGAAAAAAACTGGACAAAAATAAAGGAATAATAATAATAACAACAACAACAACAGCAAAAAAGAAATAAAACCTGCTTATTATAAACTTAAAAATAACAAACAAAAAAGATATTTTTAAAGATATTCAATTTTAAAGTTAACAAATCGGTGTAGTCTATTCACTATCCAACATTACTAGATCTATTCCTTTGTTTTTGATATAATACAATGAATTTAATATTTGAAATGATATATCAAATTATTAAAATACATTTATGATATTATATAAAATTCTTAAGATTTCTATGAAAATTAATGTATAAATATTTTTTGTTTATTTATATACTAACACAAATATGAGTGAGCATTAAATTACAATAGAATGTTTGTGGGGATAAAATGCTAATAAAGTTTGCTTGACTAAATAATGAAGGTTCATTCTCTGGAATTCTAGAGGTATGTTTTAATTAAGAGAAAATTTACCTGTCAAACATCCGAAAAAAACTAAACTGAGCAATTCAAAAAGCAGTAATATATGCAGAATAGATCTAAGTATGTCGAATCGTTTCTTTTTTTCCTCCTTTTTTTTTATTGAAATTGTTATACACCGGTAAATGATACTGAGCTGTTATACAAAAAAGAAGCAGGATATTAATTACCTGTAGAAGAATATGAAGAAAAACAAAATAAAGTAGAAATCTTTCTATATATATATAATATACAAGAAATAAATGAAAAAATTGAATAATCAATTAATAGAAATCATTATTGTTATCCATATTTGAATTTTGTCGATATGGATCATAATTAGCTGAGGTATCAAAACGATGTTGTTGTTGTTGTTGTTGTTGTAGTTGCTGTTGATGAATAGGATAATTAGAATTTTCTGGAAAATTCATCGTTGGTGCTGATGGTGATTCATTCATTTGTCGAAGAAGATTCAGTACAAGATCACGTTTATTTGGATGTGCATGAATAGCATTTAATAATTGTTGTTCTTCAGCATCAAGTTGTGTATTTGAATGAGATTGTTGTGTATTTGAGGATGTTTGATTCTGATTATTAGCTATATTCAAAGAAATAAAAATAGAATTTTATATTATGTCTATGTCATGAATATATGATTTTCTTATTCAATGAATTTATAAAAATATGTAATTAAAAGGAAATTTCTTCAGGAAAAGCAACATAATCCTGACAAAGTCTTTTGTTAAAGATATTACTTTTATATAATATGAATAATTACCTAATGAAAGAAGAAGTAAATGTTGTTCGTTTTGTTTTTGTTGAAAGTTAGCTGTTGCTAATCTTGAGTATTGTTGTTGATAATCTTCATATGAATTATTCGGATAATGTTGTTTTGTTAATGGTGAATTTGGCAATTGATTTACTTAAAAATGAAAATTAACTTTTTTTGTTTTTCTTTATTAAATCTTACATCGTGCATGATGATGATGGGGATGATGTTGATCAAAAGAAGTAAGATCACTTGTCGATGATGAATGTGGACGATAGATTTGTTCATGTAGGGGCTTCTGTTTTGTTAATAATGATTGTTTTTTTGGTGGTAAATGTCGATTAGGAGATGCTCTGAAAAAGAAAAATTAATATTATAATAAAAATTTTGAATTTAATTAACCTGTTTAATATATTTATATCGTCTTGATATGTTGTTGGAATAAAACTTGGTACTTGATGATCATGTGGTCGTTTATGTATAGGATTAGAATTGGAATAGGTTTCGAATTCAACAGAATTTGAACGTATTAATTCCTGTTTTATATGTTGATGAAGTGGCTTAGGCAAAGTATCTGGTTCCATTTTTGTAGGTTCGATTTGTATTATTGGTGATAATTTTTGTCTTTTTCTCCAAATATTTCTTGGGTTTGTTTCAACAGAATCGTCATTTTCATAATCTCGATCATCATCATCAAGTGATGTACGAGATTTCATTCGTATAGAATCATCTTCATCTGAACCAATATTGCTTTCAGTATCTCTTGATGGAGCTCTATCATAATCCATCATTTCACTATTACTTGGAGTTGATGGTAATGACACTGAATCTATAGAAAAAAAGGTTTCTTTTTATTATTGACATATTCATTCAGGCAGGTAATTGAAATTTGAAGAAAATATACGAAAATTATTTTTCTTTAATTATAAGGTCAGATCATAATAATATACAATAAGCTTTCTTGTCATACGCTTATTTTCGAAAAAGTCATTATAGAAATCTTCTCAAAGTATATAATTTAATAGTCTTATTTCTATTTTAAAACTTAAAAGACGCATATTTCTTAAAAACTTTGTTCAATTTAAAAGTTCCTACGTGATCTATTTTACAATAATGGTGTGCCAAAAATAATTGCCATTATATTTTTCAAAGTACCTGTTAATGCAAGTGTGAAGTATTAAAACATTTTTATTTTGATAGATGATACAAGGACTGCACTTCACAAAAACTCTTCAAGCTTATAAGAGATAAAAACCTTACTTTCTCGGAAGGAGCTTACAGGTTACACATGGGTTTTATTTCATTCGTTGTGTTAAAATCTTTTCATCGATCACTTAGCAGAATGATTCCACTAGCCTGAAATTCGGGCGATTTAATAATGATTTCGTCTACTTTTATACTAGCTAGTATGAATAGAAATCTTCCTCAAAAGAATAATTTCAAGAGGCTTCGCAATAATCATTATTCTGAAACTGCAAAATATTCTTTAAGTAATATCAATCTTAATAAATGCATGCAGTTAGTATCTAACGTTCGTGAAGCATGTCGGAAACAGTCGTCAACAAAGTTTGCGCATCAAATAGCAATTATTTTTGCACCCAACTGCGAATGTCATTCTGACCATTTACAAAAACTATTTTTATTTTCCTGTGTCTTACTCATTTTATCTGTTGTTGCTGTATTTGAAACATCTTGTTTAGTAGTAACTTCTTGAACAAGTGGATTAACACTTGATATTGACATAAGTTTTTGTATAACTTCTGCATGTGCTACACCTAATGTACGTATATTAACAATTTGAAGTAAAAGTTTGGGAAAAATATGTTCCGTATGTTCAACACCATAACGCCAATTCATATATTTTCCAATAAGAGTAACATATTTAATTTGTAAACGTTTAACTAAATCGAGATCTTTTATATTTGAACGATCAGGAGAAAATAAAATAACTGGTGCTAATAGTGTTGATGTTACTTCATCAACTTGTAAATTACACATTGATATTAAAAAAGTTTTTGTACGATTAAATATTTCTTCACCCCATGTTTTTTTAAGTAATGGATCAAGTGGCATAATTTGATTATCCATAACTGCACGTTGATCTCGTGATAAATAATTTGTAAATGTATGTGTTTTAGGATTAAATAATGTATTTGATGAGCAAACTACAACTTCAATAGCTGCACCTTTTAATAAATTCACTTTATCATCTTCAGAAAATAAATCAAAATCTTTCAACATTCGTGCAAATAAAACAAAACGTTGAATTGGTACAATCAGAAAATTAGCTGATGGACTCGGTGGTTTTTCACCCGGTGATGCTGGTGATGGTGGTGCTTTTCCTGAGGCTAATATTGTTAAATATTGATTTAATTCAGCTGGAAATTGTAATGGATATGTTCTATTGACACAAGAAAAACAAATTAATTTTTTTTAATATACGAGAATGCTGTTTATTCTCACTATAATTCATCGTACTTAGTAAACTCTATTCACAAATAGCAGAACAGGAAAGAAAAATCTAAATGTATTACCCCCCTTGTTTTTTCTTCTCTCTATTTCTATATTTATATAGATAGAAATGTAACGTACTAAAAAACCTTTTCTACTGATCTTATCTATTTATCAAAAGTGACTTACGCTCTAGATTGATATAATGCATGTGCTATATCTTCAATAAGTGTTTTTTCGTCTTTTGTTAGATGTTTATAAATTTCTGGATCTTCATCTACTGTACGACTATCACGAAAACGTTTTCGTCTTGAACCATATTTTTCTGCACGTTCTTGATCCGTTAAAACCCTATTTAAATTTTTGTAGAAAAAAAAAATTATTCTAGAAAAAAAATTGTTTTTTTGTTTACCATTTGGGTTTCATACCAATTGCTGTACATTTTATATAACGACAGTATTGACATACTTTACGTGTAACAATATTCACTGGACATTGTTCTACAAAAAAATATATAGTACAAATAATATATTTAGATTAAAAGAATTATTGATTTTTCTATGCCTGGCTTTGTTTTTCTTTTAACTGTAAAATTATTTATAGACGCTTATTTATTCGTTCTTTTAAAGAAATGGAAGGAAAGAAAAAAAACAAACGGGTCAACAAAACAAGAACTAAAGAACGTACTTTCTATAACCTTAAGCAAAATGAAATTTATGAAATTTTTACCGTTATTCGAACATTTGTAATTTTGATGACGATTGCATTGAACTGATCGACGAAAGAAAGCTTTACAGCTTTCACAACTATTACCACCAAAATGAATTCCTTTAAGAAAAAAAAAAAGAATTATTATTATCGAATTTTGAAATAACAAAAAATGAAGATCATCTTACCCGTACTCACATCACCACATACACTGCACAATCGATTTGGCACACCAATGTTTGATTCATCAGAATTTGAATTTGTTGTTTGTTGATGCATTTTTATTGAAGGAGACGAACTATTTGACCTTGATTTTATATCATGAGATAAATCACTTTTTACGATTTGTTCGTCATCATTCGATGAACGTTTGAATCGTGGTTGAAAACTAAAAATAAATAAAAAAATTGAATAGAATTTAAAAAAAAAAGAATTATTTATAAAACTCATTTTTGAAATATTAAATCACACCTTTTTTTATATAAATCGTCCGACCGCGAAGATTGATGCGAATGATTGTAAGCGTCTAGTGAATGGGGCATATACATGATGATGTTTTTTTCTTTTCACTACTATCTATAGTTATAAATATTAGTATCTTACGAATGTGTGACGAATATGATTCAACAAATAAGGACAAAAATATATAATATTTGCTGACAGAACGAGGATGGAATATGCTAGTTGTAATTAAATGTTGAGGTCAATAGGAACAGGCTATATTGTTTTTATAAAGAATGATAATATAGTAAAGAGAAAGTCGAAAGAAAAAAGAGTATACGTAGGCGAAAAAAGAAGAAAAGCTGTGTTGGAGTACGCGTTGAGAATGAAGACGGTGAAGAAGAAGAATAAGAGAAAAAGAAAAAGATTTGCTGTCGATAGGAAGTCGACTGCTCGAAAAAAAGAATAGGAAGGGACGAAAGACTTATAAAAAAAGCAGAGAATATAGAGAACAGGATTGTCCTTATAGTTCTCATAAAAAAGTTCTTAAAAAGAATATATATATATATTTACAAATGAACCCTTTTGCCTTCTACTAAAAATTTTTTTATTCAAATTTCATAGACTTAATATGATATCAAGAGAAATATTAATTATTAATAAACATTGAAAAAGTAATAAAATTTTTAAGGACAATAATTTGACACTGAGATGTATACCCTTATGTTCGTGCTAGAAATGTCATGATGTTCGCTGTGAGGTTACTAAGTACGGAATAGTCCCAGACTCATCAACAAGTAATTTAAGACGGAATAACAACGTTTTTTTCTCTCAACTAACTTATCACGCAAGAAAATACAAGTATATATATATATATAAATGATTAGAAATATGCGTATATAGATGTCCTTGTCGTTAATATACAAAACAACTATATATATTTCGATAGGTCCTCAACAGACTGAAAAATATCAGACGAATTAAAACCGAATTAAATAATAAATTGTCTAGAGCAGGCGATTTAATTCGAGATAGACCAATCACATCATTTAATTCAAATTTAAATTAATTAATTTTTTCTAGCCTGTTTGGGGCCATAGAAATCTTACAAAAAGAAAGTAACAATAAGTCAAATTTGAAATCTCAGTATTTTATTTTTTTCTCTCTACTAAATAAGAGTACGATGAGGGGTGTATGACTATGCATATTTTAAAAAACAAAAAGAACGAACGAACGAACACACACAAAAGACAATTTTTATTTGACTATTCAGATTTTTTCGCACGGGATGTAAACGCGATACACATCATAGGTGTTTTTTTTTTCTTCTTTTTTTTTATCCGTTAGTCATCGCGATTACGCCCACATCAATATTCTGATACTCTAATAATCGATCTATTATTATTAAAAATACAAGTGTGTCTAGATTGTGTCATTAAAAAGTAACATGAATCAATTCCTAATAAATAACAAAGCTAAATTTATGTCTATTTTCTTGCATTTGGATTTTATTTTATTTCCTGATATATAATTATATAGAACATAAAAATAAAAGATTATCAAGTCTACTGTAATAATATGATAATACAGTACACGATAATATGATATGTATACCTACTGAAGTAAGAGAATATTTCTTATCTTTTACTTTACACTAAGAATACTGAAAAATAGAATAAAGATCAAGTGCACTGAATTTTTAATCCTTCTATTCCTGTAAATTATGATATTTTTATCATTAATAGTAGTCATGTAATGTTAATGATTTGCCAAAAGCAAAAACGTCGAGAATCTATTCAAAGCTATATTTATCAAATAGAAGCAAATTACTTTCGTTTCGAATATATTATAGATGTCTTATCTTTGATAGATCGTTTATACTAAATAACTATTTTAAGCAAAAAAAAAATATCATAATTATCTGATAAATTATAGGAGTACGATGACAAAACAAAAAGTAGTATAATATCTGACCAGACTGATCATTTTCATTTATTTGTTCGTGCTTAATAATATTTCCTGTTAAATATTTTTCAAAGTCGAGATTAACAGACAATAAAAATGACTCTATTCATAGATAATAGCATTAGTTACTTTTTCATATATATAACAATACGGTCATAACGACCCAAAATAGTTACTAATATGCTCAGCAGACATACAAGGTCACAATAATCAAACAGCTAGAAAACACGATATTTAAAAAAAAATTCTAAACTAAAATATAAAATTATAGGGATTTGCACTTATTTGTTATACGATATCTAAGAGGTCAAAAAAACTTTTGATATTAAACAGAAAGAATGAATAATATAAAGTTTGTTTACAATGATAAAACGCAGATGAATGCATCAATGCTATATTTAAGATATTCGAATATAAAAAATAAAACTTAATTAATAATAATTATCTATAAATATTCTATAAAATTTTGAAAAAAAAAATATTCTCTATTATTGTAGTTTTCTTTTTATTAGGCTATTATCTATTTGTATATGATTGGCTTCTTTTTTTTCTTAGTTTTTGTTGACTAACATGACTGGAATCTATTTTTTGTCGTCATTTACATATATATATATCTGCTTTTCTTTATTAATTCTATAAAAAGTACTTTTACAAACTATTGACAAAACAGAATTTTAGTTCAAGGTCAAATAAACGTCCTTTTCTTTCTTGCTACGATTAAGTGAGATAAATATACTTACAATTATAAACGAATAAATAGTATAAGAAAATTGTATATTGTAGATTTAGTTTTATGAAAAACTAAATATATGTTTGATGAATTGATATCTAGAAATGATATGTATAGTCATACACAATCAACATCACATAGGGGTCAATTAATTCTGGGTACAAACAAAAAAAAGGAATAAAAAAAAAGAAAAAAAAGTAACGCTTTTTCTTCTACTTTCTAATGATTGGTCTTACTCATGAACAAGTAACGAAAAAGACATAAACTCATATTTAATATGATTTAAGACGAATAGAATTCGATGTTCGTTTACACATTTTATTTTTATATACTTCTACTAAACGATCATCATTTTAAAAGAAATAACATCACAATCATGTAAGAATTTTTATCTATTCGTCAACTAGCGACACACTATTAACCTTGCAGTGACAAATATAAAATATTATTTATTAAATCTTAATCAATTAGTTTCGAAAAACGTGATTATTAAGAATTTTTGTAATATAGATTTATGGTTTTTCTGACATACATTAATTTTTCAAGATAGAAAAGAAAGATTAGATCTTCTATCATTGAGCTATATGAGCACGTCACTATAAAACCTATTATAATTAATACATGTGTACTGCTTCTGAAGCACACATTGAGAAAAAAAGGAAATGTTGACAATTATTCTACAAATATATATCATCTGTTTCAGGAAATTGATATATTTTCTAAACCAAACTTATGTCATTCAAAAAACATGAGAATTATATAACTTTTACTTCAATAAATTCCACTAGAAAGTCGAATTGAGATTTTGTATAATATAAATTTATATCGTATGAATAAAATCTCTAATATCCATTAATTATGATTCCAGGTTCGATTTAATGAGAATATGTATATGACACATACCTTCATCAGTTTAAGTGCTTCCAATCGATGTAATCTTTTATTTCAAACTTGACACTTTTCAATTAAGACTGATACTTCTTGTCTCTCGTTATATTTATTAAATAGTGCCATCATTTTTATTGATTCAACAAAGTAGACTTTCTTTTCTTTCTCGCACATCTAATTGATTAAAAATAATCAACAGTGCATAGACTTGTTCGGAATCACAAATTATTCTGTTAATTTAAATAAGTTTTTCTCTTCGTCAACTGTTTTTTTTTTGTCTAATGATATCTATTGACATGTCTTCAAACTAAACTAAATTTAGTTAACAATTACGCTTTGTAGCTCTTGCATTGAAATCAAGATAGGTACAATATACTTT